ATAATTGAATTTTGAAAGAGTTACAGTTGAAATTTTTAGAAATTAAAAATAATTTATAAATACAATCACTTTGAAATTGTTCCCTTTTCACACATATATTTTCCCCAATTATTCATCATCTAGTACGAAACACTTGCTTTTAGCCACTAAATCTAATAAGTCGCACTAATCACATTCAACGAATTTCTTCTTCATTCTTCATATCTAATTCAAATAATAGGTTACTTGAGTATTGTCAAATAAATATTTATTAAATAATTTTTGAAACCAAATAATTGAATTAAATAAAACTGTATTTGGATCAATAATTTCTGTATTTGAAACAAATATATTGACAAAAATTTATTTTATTCAAATAATGGGTAACTTGACTATGTATTATCAAATAAATATTTATTTGTAGGTAACAAATAATTATTAATTCAGTATAAATTTTTCAAAAATTTCATTTCATTTGAAAATCTTCTAAAATTTAATCGTTAACAAAAAATTTAACTAATAAACTTTAAAATTTTTTTTTTTTTTAAAGATTGAAATTTATTTTTTCCATTGTGAACTTTTATAAAATTTTACAATGAATCAAATAATAATTATTTAATGCAAATAAATATTTATTTGATAATAGTCAAATAACCGATTATTTAAATAAAAGATTTTTTTTCAGTGTAGTAAAAAAACATTTTTTAATTCCGAAACTTATTATTGGTGAAATTCAATTTTTTCGAGAATATCCCCCATCGGTGGAGAGAAAATTATTTTTTCTTTGCATATCATAAAAATTCATCGCAACCACTATAAAATATATTTACTTTATTAAAAGCTTCCTAACATGAAAATTCACAAAATGTATCTTGTTTTTTTTTCCTCAACCTAACAAGCAATTCCAAACAAAAAAAAAAAACCAAGTAAATTTGATCCTTTGGCGAAAAAAAGTAGTGAAAAAGTACTTTAATTAAACCGGGATCTTGAAAATGCTTTTTTTCTAAATCAGAATTTCATTCTCCTGTAAAGCTTTCTCGAACAATAAAAGAGCATTAAAAAAAAGGAGTTTGTAATTCTTGGGGAAAAACGAAAATTTCAATGAATCGAGGAAAAAAAAATTGTGTTTGGAGGTGGAGGCTTTTGTGAATATTGGAATAACGCGTCTATGTGTATTCCCATTAAAAGTGAGGGCGTTGCATAGAGAGCGGTTGGAGAAAAAAAAAAGGAGATCGCGTTTCAGCAAAGGGTTGAGCAGCGATATTCATGCTAATAACTTCCGACAGTATTAATGTCGCACCCTGTACCGTCGCTATACCTCTATTTTACTGGGGGGGGCGAAAGGGGGATTGCATCGCCTTGCACACAATGGGATTCCAGACAACGTTATACCTCGCCTTATGTATACACAACGGAATAAAAGGATATAGCATACTGCTGCTTGGCATACAACCTCCTCTTATCTAGCCCGATATTATTAATAACACATTTATGGTAATACTTAGTCTTAGGTATTACGGTAAACAATATAATACCTCTCTGGCTCCTTACACATATATATATATCAACGTGAATGAGGATTCAGAATCCTTGTACTCGTGGTTAGTTTGCCTAGCAAATACTCCACTTCCAGCTTTCCAACCACGATCTTCGACTTGAAGCCTAGATATCTGTCGAGGTTTAGTTGTGGTTTTACTCAACAATTTATCTCGTGTAATTTACCATCAAAGAGGAGAGAGAGAGAGAGAGAGGAAATTTTAGTCGCGCAAGACTTCCTTAATTCGAGTTTCATAATCAACATTAAAACTATAGAATCAATATAAATTAAACACAAATACGACACAATGAAATATGATTTTATCGAGAGAATTTTCTCCAAATTTTAAATGGCCTAATTTTCATTATAATTTTCCCTGACGTTTCCCTTACTTCCGGACAGTATTTTGTGATTTTTCATGACATTTTCGAATTTTTTTTTTTTTATCAAATGTAAATTCTATTTAAAAAACATTGTGATACATGAAAATTCGATCAAATGAAAATTGGGTCAAACAAACATTGTATAAAAAAACAATTTCAATTCTTTAAAAAAAATCCAATTACTCATTTTCAAAAGTTTTAATGAAATTCTTGTTAAAAATTCAATTATTTTCAAAGTTTTAATCAAATTTTACGAAATTTCAATTACAATTATTTTAATTTACTATATTCGAAAATTCAATTATTTTCAAAAATATAATTTAAATTATTATATGTAAAAAAAAACTGAATTATTTCACAATTTTGAATAAATTCTTTGATAATTGAATTATTTTTGAAATTTGTAGTTCATTTCTTTTTAAAAATAGAAAAAATCAAAACTTCTAATTACAACTCTGAATATTGATTTTTATATTTCTATTAAATCCATATTTAATTATGTTATGTATAAAGTAAATTAAATAAAACTATTTGCAAATTTTATCATTTTTTAAAAAAAATTCAATAAACTTCTTCAATAATTTAATTATTTATCACTAAATTAAAATGATAGATTTTAATACATTAATTTTAATTTACAAAAAATTTATTTATTTCTCAAAAAGTTAAATTATAAATTTTTCAAAAATTTCCTTATATTATTAAAAAACTTTGACTGCAACTTTTCGAGATATAAAAATTATTTCCAAATATCGAAAATAAATTTTTACAAAAAATTTGTACCTTTTAAATTTTACATACTTTCAAATATTATTCAAATTTTCAATTGAAAATTTTTTAATAATTTAATTATTAACAAAAAATGTAACTGTTAAACTTTCAAATTTAATTAATTTGAAAAAATTTTAACAACACAAATTCTTCGAAATTTCAATTATTTGCAAAAATTTTGTATTCTAGAAGAGTTAGAGTTGAAATTTTTAGAAATAATTGAATTGGAAATAATTTTGTTAGATTTCGATCAATAATTAAATTTTAGAGAATTGACACTAATTTATCAAATAATTTTAAAAAACATTTTTAAAAGTATTTGAATTTTTAAATTTGGAACAAATATTGGATTTCATAAAAATTTTAATTTATTAAATCTTATTAAAAAAAAAAAAAATCCGAAGAAAGTCGTATTTTCGAAAAAAAAAATTCAGATTAACTCTTATAATCCGAATAAAAAAAAACCTCTTAAAATTTAATTGTACACAAAATAAAAATAATAAACGAATGAAATTATTGGAAAATTAAAAAATAAATGAAGTATTTTAAATGAAACTGTTTTCAAGGTAAAAAAAATTTCAATGGACAATCAATTTGTTAAATTGTGAATGGGCAAAATTTTAGCACACATATATATAGTCTACACGGCAGAAAATACACAATTTAAATTTTTAATTTGTCACTTTCATACAATGGATACTTTTAATGAATACAATTCCTATATAATTGAAATTACTCTATTTTTAACATTTTTAATTTAAAGAAAGATAAGAATTAAAATTTAAAAAAAAAAGAATGTAAAAGTATTTAATTTATTATTTTTTCCTTTCTTATTCCATCCACTATAAAAAGTATTTAAATATTTAATCAATGTAAATGAAAATTTTTTCAATTATTTAATGTTCGAGAAATTAATATTTTATTTTAAACCCTATTTCTTTTCCTACACTACTTGTCCGTATAAACTAATTTTCTTAATTCTTAATTTACTTCAAAATAGCAAAATTTTCTTGGAGTTAGAAAATATTATAACGTGGTTTTTTTTTTATTTAATACTATTTTTTTCCAGTGTATAAAATATGTAATATTTCACTCATAGTATAGAAATAATAAAATAATAAAATACTAAAAACAGAAATCCATAACTTGGAAACGAGTAGAAAACACAATTTTCGACAGATGTTATGCCAATCAAGAGAGAAAAGAAAATCACGTATTTTTTTTCATTCCGTGGAAAAATGAAAATCTCGCCCCAGGGGACAAGAAAGAGAAAAATAAACTAATAATAAACATTAAAAATTAAGTTCCTTTTTGGAAAAAATAAACGAAATTTAATGAAAAGACGAACTGTAAACATCTGGGAAAACCAAGTTGGGAGTTTTTTTTTTTTTAAGCAAATGATATTGGAATCAACAAAGACTCGTTAATTAAAGAAATAGGTTTCTCCTACATAGGTACAACTGTGTTTGCATTTGTGGCGGGAGTTGGTTCTCGCATGCGTGCCTGTTCGCTTCGATAAATCCCTGCTTTCTCTTCACTCTTTAACCCCATTACAACAAACGCTTTTGTGGACTAAAACAAAAGGGTTTTTGCCGTCCCGCGCCCACGTTCGGGTTACTCAGTATAATTCACATCTGACCGTCGAAATGTATTGCAAGCCCGCAGGCAAAATAAAACGCAGCTTTTCAACGAAAATCACACACAAAAAAGGCAAAATAAAAGTCCAAGAATCGCCCGTTTTTTAATATCTAACAATAACTGCATTAAACCTCTTCATTTCCATTAAAAATAACTGATAATACGAAAGAGGGAAAATTTAGAATATAAAAATATTCATTAATAAAAAAAAAAAATACATCCTGTCTCCTTTTTTTATACATAAAAAAAAATTGATGAAATATGTCAAATATTTAAAATACATTTTTTAAATTTCTCTCAATCGTATTCAGTAACGAAAAAAAAAAACTCCGTCAGCTAAAATTGACTTCATCCAACCAGATCGAAAAAAACTGTTTGACTTTTTATAAAAATGAGAATTTTTTGCAAATTACAAAAATATTTTCAAATTTTATCAAAATATTTTCAAATTTTATCAAAAAATTTTCAATACACACAGTTTTATAGTTGATGAACGTATTTTTTTTCAAAAATATTTAGAAAAATGTCAAAGCAGAATAAAACGACAATTATTCTAAAAGCTTTAATTTTTTTTTTATCACGCGTATTTCTTTTTAATTTTTCGTTACGTATTTCCATAAAAAAAAAGTCATTTCAAAATTTTCTAATAATTAGAAAATTAATTTCAAAAAAAAAAACAAAGAAAAACTTACCTCGCAGAACGAAAAAGACCAATTGACTCCTCGAGTTGTTTCTTTCGCATCAATATTTGTATTTTCTTCATTGCATCGTTCCTGAAAATAAATAAATAATTAATATTTTACACTAATTAACAGATCAAAAAATTTATATTAAAAAAATAAACATCAAAGAGAAATTTAATTTACTTTTGCTCATCTATTGGAGTGTCCAGAGTCGCATCAAAAGGCATCACGACTGGAATCTGATTTGATTGCATAACAGCTGACAATTCTGGTCCAACATCATCCCATCGATCTTCCAAACTCAGTACAACTGGCGGAGCTTGTGAATTTTCTTTGACAGACTCTATACAAAAATGTGGAAAAAATGAAATGACAAGAAAGAAAGTTGATAAATTATTGTGCAGTCAAAAGATCTTCACTGTTCAGTGATAAAAAAAAAAAAAAATCAGGAATGAAAAAGAAATGAGAGAAAGAGAGAGAAATAAAGCAACGCAAGACTATTGATTTTTTTCTCTGTGCAAATATATATATATATATACACCCACGATAAATCTAATTCGCGAACCTCGTTTCCTAAACGAATTTCATTTCTCCCTAAGATGAATCTGTCAATTTATAGTAGTCTTGAAATTTTGTTAGAAAAGATCTCGAAATCAATATCCGCATGATATATGTAAATATGCAAATTGAACTGCAATTTAAAGTAAAAATAAAATTTTCTAAATTTGATATACTAGAATCTCAATATAAATGAAATAAATCGAAAAATTCAATTTCAAACTTTTATATTTATAAGCAGAAATATATATAGAAGATTTCAAAAGTAAAACTCACTTTTCTTGCGTTTCTGAGATTTTTTCTTTTTTGTTTGAACAATAACGGTTTTTCCTATACCGCAAAATTGTTCAAGGGCTTTCAAAAAAACATGTGTCGTCACTGTTAGATCAACCAAATATGCCCTGAAACAAAAAAAAAAATAAATTAAACCAATTATTATTATTTCATGGAAATAAATAAAATTATTAACTTTATTTTTTTGACTAAAGAGAAAATTTTACACTTAATAGAATTTTCATTAAAAAATTTTATTAGAAATCATTATTTTTTTAGACGCATTTTCATTTTTCTAATTAGCATTTGGCAAAATTTCCTTTTATATGAATTTTTACTTAACAAAATTTTTAGTTAACGAATTTTTGTTTGGCAGAATTTTTAGTCATTTAATTTACATGACTTTTTATTTGAGAGAATTTTTAATTAATCGAATTTAAATTTAACAGAATTCTCCTACAATCGAATTTTTAAATGACAGAAATTCCAATTCACCGAATTTTGTATTTTTTACGAATTTTTAATTGATATAATTTTAAAGGCACCGAATTTTCATTTGTTCAAAATTACAAATGACCGAACAAACAATCGACAAAAAGATTGCGGCGCAATTTTCAAAAATTAACCAATTATAAATTATCAAGTAAATAGTTATTGGTAAATTTTTGAAAATTGCGAAGAAATCTTTCTGTCGATTGTTTTTTTCGGACATTTGTAATTTCAGATAATTGAAAATTCGGCGCCTTAAAAATTCTATTAATTAAAAATTCGTAGAAATAAAAATTCGGTAACAAATTCGGTTAAAAATTTTTTGTATGTAAAAATTTGTATAAAAATAAAATCATTAATAATAATAATTAATAAATCATTAATAGTAAAAAAATATAATTTTGAAAAAATTTTCGATTATAAATTCTATACTGGTCAAAAATTAATATTTTCTATTGCTGACGTATGTTTCTTAGGACCTAAATGACATAAAAAAAAATATTAAATTCTCACGATCATTTAAATTTAAAATGTTAAAAATAATAAGGTACTGTCCATCCCTTAAGAAATAAATGACCCTACTTTAGAAAATTTAAAATTTTCAAAATTTTGTTATAAAATTCAAAAAATTCAAAAAAAAAATGCAAGGTCTTTTTAAGAACTTCAATGTCCGCTGAACATCCTGAAATTTTTATTAAAAATAGAATTTTCATTTTAAATTTGTGATATGAAAAATAAAATAAAATAATTTTACATTTAAAAATTTTCAAACATATCAATTTTATTTCGATATTATTAAAAATCACTCGTAACATGATTAAGTGGGAATAAAACTGTAATAGAATAAGTGCAGAGAATGTGACTTGGGAATGCTTTAAATTTCAAGAAATGAAGACGAACGGAATATTCTCTCTGACATATTATCGGAAGTTGAAATGGGAACGCATTAAATTCCCAGAGTGATTTGGAATTTCCATTTATTTTGTGTTGTCGTCTCGAAAATACTAAAAGCTGTCAAACTCGAAATGAGTTGAATGCCCCGAGATCGGAAGATAGACAGAAGTTGTTTATTCCAGGATGAAACGAAAGGGAAAGGCGTACAGAGAATAAAGAATGAATATGTATAGGAAAAGGCGAGAATGAGAGAAAAAGAGAGCGAGAGAGAGTAAAAAAGGAATAAAAAAAAGAACTGACAGTGGGGTAAAAGAGAAAAGAGGATGAGATGAAAACTCAGACGGTCAGACGATTGACCCAAAGTTAGTTCAATGTGTTTGCAGTTGATAAAACTTCTCGTAAACAGTTACTTCTTTTGACAAGTTTCAGCCAATCATTATGAACTTCTATATGAGAAACCACCGACATTGATCTAACTTTAATTTAAAAAAAAAAAAATCTTACCAAGATTTACAAATGGGATTTTCAACTTTGTTATAAATCAAATCAAAGTTTAAAATTTATTACTAACAAAAAGTTAATAAAAAATATGATTTTAATTATTATTTTTCTTAAAGATAAGTAAAATAATAAATAAATATATTTTAAAGAGAAAAATAATTTCATAAAACGCAAGTTCTTGAAATTATCCCAAGGCTTGTCTTTTACACCTCTGGTATTGGAAAACTTGTCATGAAAAGGGGATGGCTGGGGGGGGGGGTGAGTTTTGCTTTGAGAATATGCCAAGCTGATTTTAGACGCAAATGTTCTCTGAGAACATTCTAGGGTGATTTTCAGTTTGAATGGTTTCATCGAAACATCTCCAACTGCATTAGTTGTTGAGAGATTACGATTTCCTCGCTTCAACTGCCAAGGGTTGAAAAGACAACCCCTAAAGTAATTTCAAAAGCTCGTTATCAAAGGGTGCGTTCCCTTGACACCAGAAATGTTTTTAATTATTATCAGTTTAACATCGGGAAATATATTCAAGACTCAGCAATCAATCAAATAATATATATAAATTAAATTACCAATTATAACTAAATAAACCTAATTTTGAATAAATTTTTCTCAAAAAAAAAAAAAAAAAAAAAAAATTTAAAAGAAAATATGAATGTTTAGTAAATCTGCTTGCAATTTAATTTTATTTTCATCGAATTTCAATTCAAGAAACATCTTGGGACATAAATAAAATGGATAGAAAGGATAAAGTACCATTCGTTTCAAATTGACCCAGTATTCCAAAATCGTGGCTGAAGATAAGTGAGTCAACGGAATATTAAATAAATATAGTGGATCGTGTCCAAAGATAAGAATTGTCAACGAAATTATTAATATAAAACAACTGCAAATACTTTTAAATTAAAATTATTAAATTAGAAATGTAAAATTATTTAATATTCTAATGAAATGGATTTTTGGAAATACGAACCTCGACATTTTTAGTTCATTGAAACACAGCATCTGGGAAAGTATCGTTTCCCGATATTCAGGAACATAGAATATATTACTCTTGATGACTTTGCTAGAGTTTTGAACGCCTTTGTCCGGACTTTTATCCATCGCCAGTAATGTATGAAGCAACTCCTGGAACACGAGTAATTTCACTTTACTATACTATACCTTCATCTTCGACAAAGGTGAGATAAATAAATTTTTAATTTAAAATATAGATGAGAGAAAACGAAATATTCTTCACCTGGTACGCTTTCAAAGCGAGATGCAATCTTCCCGACCAAAGTTGGGTCTTTTTCTTTTCCAACGACAATATCTCGTAATATTCCTCCATTTGTCTCTGGACAAAATGAAATATCTCTGTTGATATTGTCTCGCTGAAAAATTAATGTCAGATAAAATTAATCTTTTTTTTTTTTCTTTTTTGTAAATTAATATCTAATATTGAGAATAAATTGTTTTAGACATCAAGTGAGAAAAATATTTTCAACACTCAAAGTAATAAAACATTTATTTAAAACCGGAGAGGAATAAAAAAAGATATATTTTTTCTCATTTCAAATATTTTTCAGAAGAAATATTGAAAATAATTCCATTTTAAAAATATTTTGAAGTCTAATTCAAAAAATTTATTCGAATTAAAAATTTTTGCATAATTTTTAATTTTAATTGTCAAACAAATTTCAGACTATAATTAAGTTTTACAAATTTTTAAATTAATTTTTTTTTTTAAATAATTGAATTGCAGAAAATTTGAAATAAATTTTCCTGAAAATTTAAACTGCTGTAGATTTTTTTTCAGCTAACAATTCAATTTTGGAGTTTTTATTTGAAACTTTTTTAAATAATTGAATTTTTAAAGAAATATTAAAATTATTAGAAATAATTGAATTTCAAAAGAATTTGCTAAATATTAAACAACAATTAAATTTTACAGAATTGAAAATTATTTAACAAATAATTTTAGATAACATCTTTTAAAAGTAATTAGAAAAATTAAATTTCTAAAATTTTTAATTGAAAAATGTTTTTAATAATTGAATTTTTGAAGAATATTCTAAAAATTATTAAAAGTAATTGAATTTCAAAAAAATTTTGTGAAATTTTAGTGAATAATTAAATTTTATAGAATTTGCAAATTATTTATCTAATAATATTAGATAACTATATTTAAAATAAAATTATCAATTTCTTCGAGTCATTTTTGACGATAATTAAATGAAAATAAAAATTATACTTTTTAACGTTACGTTACGTTCAAATATAAAACTATTTTTATCGAAAAAAATTAATAAAAATTATTTTTTTTTTTTTATTTTTACTTAGTTTTTAACAAAAATGACACGGAGAAATTGCTAATTTCATATTAAATATAATTAATACCACCGAGTGATAAATTCTTCAAATACTATAACTTTACATAACATTTTTTAAAGTAATTGAATTTTTAAATATTTACAATTCAAATTTTTTAAAATAATTGAAGTTCAATTGAATTTTAATTAAAAATGCATTCAAATAATTAAATTTTGGAAGAGTTACAGTTAAAATTTTTAGAAATTAAAAATAATTTATAAATACAATCACTTTGAAATTGTTCCCTGTTCCCTCATATATTTCCCCCAATTATTCATCATCTAGTATGAAACACTTGCTTTTAGCTAACGCTTACAACACTGTGAATAAACTGGTTTTCGTCCGAACACCAAAGTTAAGCACAATTGAGCGCGGTTAGTACTTGGATGGGTGACCGTTAGGGAATATATAAAAACCTTTAGAATATTTAAAATTGAAATTTTTGAAAATAATTGAATTTTAAGTGATTTTAAATTGAAAGTTTTTGTAATTTTATTTGCTTATTTTTGTTTTTAATTTTAAACAATCATCCGATTTCAGAAATATCGTAATTGAAAAATATTTTAAAATAATTAAAGTTTTTCAAGAATTTCATTAAAATTATTTAAAATAATTAATTTACAGAAGAATTTTAATTAAAAATTTGTTAAATAAATGAATTAAAAAATAGCTAAAGAATATCTGCATTGTACTAGTACTAAAAAAAGGTATATTTTGTTTAAAAATTTTGTAAAAAATTTAAAAATGTTAAAAAAATGTCGAAAAAGTCGCATCTTATTAAAATAAGTTAAAAAAAAAGTAAGAAAATGTCGAAAATGTCGTATAATCCAAGTCCTGAATTAATTAAAAATTTTATTTAAAAAATAAAAAACTAAATTAATTTTCTTCACGAGTTAAACAACTTTTATATTCAATGATTACCAAATTTTTGCTACTCTATATTATAAATTCCCTTTTTGATACTCCACAACTTATCTATAAATATTTTAAACTAACATTAAAAGGATTTTACCGTCTCAAATATTAATCGAAAATTCTTCAAAAAAAAAAAAAAAAAAAAACTTACTTCACAAGTTTTCTCCAAGTAATATAACTATTTTTGATATTTGCTCTTTATCGTTTGAATTTCGAATTGAAAGCACAAAATGAAATGGAAAGCGGTTATTTTTTTTTAACCCTGTGAATTTCGTTTATTTATTTTACTTTTTTTTTTGTTGTTGTTCTTTCTAGCATCGAGGAAAAAAGCATCGATGCGTAAAACGAGTTTGCGAACTATCGAAAATCCGCGCAGTATCGTGGGAATAATACGAATGAAACCTACCTCACGTATTTCACATGAAACTTGTAATTTCGATTGAACTCCATAAAGAAACGCATTGCCCAGAGATAGAAACGTGCATCCACATGTCCTTCAGAACTGGCATTATTTATACAAGATCTCGCGTATCTCATCACAGGATTGTAAGCGCCTAAAGAACACAAAACAAATAAAATCCATTAAAATTCATATTCTTGAAAAATATAAAAATCAAAAATTATGATTATAGTTTTTTCAATCTTATTTGAAATAAATACAATTTTCTATTACAATCTAATCTCATAGGAAATACAATTTTTTTTTTTTTTTTTTTATTGAAATTCAATTAATTTTATTATATTTTTCTCTCATCGTTTTAGCATTTTCATTATCTCAATATCTAAACTTTAATGGAATTTTAATATTGAAGGAAAAAGTCACCATTCAGAAACTCGACGCAAAATTCCTTTAGGAATAGCCTCACACTGAAAGCGGAAACGCGTTCTACCATCGTATCTGCCATGGCTCTCCTGTTTTTCGGTTTTTTCACATTCACCTGAAATCAATCGAGCAAAATCAACTCAAAAATTTTATCTCTTACAGAAGCTTTTAGAATAAAAATGTTTTTTATCGAATTTTTTTCTCGTTGTAACTAAACGAGAATAAATTATAAATCCTTTTTTTATTTTCTAATATTTATGTCCAATTTTACCTGTAATTGCAAAAAAAAAAAATTTTTAATTAGAAAAATTTTATTTTAAATTATTTAAAACTTAATTAAAAAAAAACTGAATAGAAAAAAAGTATCAAGTATTAAAATTGTATTTTCCTATAAAAGTAAAGACTCTAGAATATTATTCAAATAAAATGTCAATAATTGAAAATTCTAAAAATTTGCATTTCTTTTTTTCAGCTTTTAAAAGTTATTTCCAAAACTCGAAGAAATCACAAAAGTTGAGTGAGTAAATAGTAAAATATTTCCAGTTGATAAAAAAAAAAGTAATTCGCATTTTAAAAAGAAATCAAGATAATACATTTTATTCACGTTTTCAAGAGATGAGGGACTTTGAACTTTCAACAAGAAGTTTAATTAAAAACCACACGTTATCTGAAAAAAGAAAAACCTATTTGTCGGTGAAATCATCCTTCTCTTTATACTCCTCGCCAAAAGGGTTTGACCCACATTCTAAATAGCATCAACTATTTTAAAATTTAAATTTCGGCCAGAGAAAAAAAGCAAAAAACCCACGTCGAGGAGAAAAATAAAAACAAAACTTATTGCACAAGGCGGCGAAATGCAACAACGAAATAAACTCCAAGGGTCTTTAGAAAGTAACAATAAATTATTAACTTAAGAATGTAACCCTTGGGAATGTTACAATCGTTGGACATTACAAGTGAAATATATGAAGACCATATAATGAAACGCGAAATGGATCCGCTTAAAAGTTTTCACAGTCTCTAGACAAAGATGCCTCGACAAGGGTCGCTAAATGCGAAAAACTCATAGTACGATGTTGACCTAGTTTTAAAATGCTTCAAAGCCGTTAGAAAAGAGCAGACTCTAATTACACAAGGATAGATCTAATTAACAGTCATATATTTCTTTATATTTTTCAGACCACTAATGAAAACTTATCGCGAATATCGCACGTCTAATTGAATCCTCCGACCACCTCTCAATTTCCTCTCACATAACCATTAAAAAAAAAAAAAAAAAAAAGTTAAACAGAGCAATGAAGAAAATATATTAAAACTCTCGTTTCTTATCCGATTATAATTTTCGCTTTTCATACCTTTTCCGTGCCAAATTCAAGTGCCTCGATTTTCTGATAAGGCTTGTGGCAGATCAACTGGTTTTCTCCGATTGCCTTCATGTTCTGCACAACGTAAGTGCCACCGAATCTTGAGTGCCTGCAAAGAATATAGAAAGCCTTTTTAAATCAGTTCTGGAAAATAAATGCTTGACAATATTCAAATAGAGTAAAAAAAAAAAAAAAAAAAAAATATTGAAAATAAAGATATTTTTTCAATTCAAATAAATATTTTCTATTAACCTATTTTAATATTTTCTATAATATATTCTATTAATATTACCTATCTATTAAATAAATAATTTCTATTAACCATTGATATTAGATATTGAAGATAAATTTTAATAATTCCTCAATAAAAATTATTGAATAAAAATTTATCAAGAAATTTTATTTAGACAATATTTTTAAAATTGAAAAAAATTTTTCAAGAAGTTGCAACAAAAATTTGATTTTGTTTTTCAATATGACTTTTTCTTGATTTCCAGTCAGAATTTAAATTGTTTTCCCTGATTCTAATGAAAATATTTCAAGGGGTTTTAAATTATAAAAAATTAAGACAATAATTTTTAGAAGCATAAATTTAAAAAATTTAAAAATATTTAAATTAAATTTTAGAAGAACTTTTTAAAATTATTTCAAATAATTAATTTGTCAAAAGAATTTAAATAGAAATTTAAAAAAATATATATATATAATTACAGAAAAGAAATAGTCCAGATTTTTATAATTTATTAAATTTTAGGAAATTTTGTAAATTTGAATTTCTAAAGACCTTTTTAAAAGAATTTCAAGAATAATTAAATTTTAGAGAATTTTTAATTGTTAATTTTTATTTTATTTTATATTATTTATTTGTATTTATTTTTTTTAATTTAAGATTTTTAGAATTAATTGAATTTCAAGAGGATTTAAAAAGAAATTTTCGTTTAAAAAAAATATTCTTTTTACAAATTACGAAAGAGCAACAGTCCAGATTTTTTTAATTTATCAAATTTTGGAAATTTTGGAAATTTGAATTTCTAAAGACTTTTTAAAAAATTTTTTAGGAATAATTAAATTCTCGAGTATTTTTAATTGAAAATTTGTTGAAATAATTGAATTTTCGAAGAATTTCATTAAAAATGATTGAAAATAATTAATCTCTCAGACTTTTAAAATCCAAATTTTTAAAATAATTAAATTTTGGAAAAGCTAAAATTTGTACTAAAAAATAAATTGGTATTTTGCTTTTAATTTTATAAATTAATTAATTTTTCATTTTATTTTTTAAAATAGTCGGAAAAACTCTCCTTTTTCTAAAACAAGTCAGAAAATGTCATAAAATCCAAGGTGTGTCAATTTAAGCGACAAAATAATAAACTTCCATTTTTAAAGTATATAAAATACAAGAAAAGCTTGAAACTTTATCCTAATGTTAATCTACTTTGTATTTCTACGTTGAAAAGTATGTGCCGTATTATTTTAAATAATAGATTTAGAAGGGAGAAACTAAGTAAATCTAACTTCACTGGAGAGTAAAGAAACCCAAACTTAAACAAAACACAGTCAAACTCCCACAATATTCTATCTTAAGTATTTTAAAATCCAATTCTTTATTTTCATTGTATTTTTCAAAAAAAATTTTAATAAAATCCGTTTTATTAATTTTATTATCTTTATTTCAATTTTACAAATTACTTTAATTTCTCTTTGCATAAAAAAACTGATTTTTAATATAAAAATTTTTTTTTTTTAAATAATTTCATTTAAAAAAAATTCTTTCAGAAGAAAATAAAAATCAAATTGGCTTCGCGAATTCTATTTTAAAAAAAAATTTCCAATAAAGAGACATTGAAAAATGATTCATTGAGAAATAATTACATTTTAAATATTCGCTAATTAAAAATCAAGTTCGTGGATCGACACCACAGTCGTGGATTAAGACTTAATCCGATTAAAATTTAACGGCAGGAAGATAGCTTGGTGTTTCTATTCAAGCTTGATCGGCTAAGCTTCGCGTGTTAAAACAACTACGAAGAATTGAAGGAAACCTTATAGCAAATTCAGGATTAAAGGCTTCCCAAAGACTGTCTACGAAATATAAGGGACCTGTATTTCTCGCAATTTATTATTCAAAAAGTGTACTGCAACAAAAAATATTTCCCCCCTCCCCAGAATTAATTCATTATTCCCTTTAATCGATTTTTCTTTTACTTCCATCTGAATTTACTTTTAGTGGAAAAATCTTAACGAAGATGAATTTTAATAAAACGCGCAAAATCTCAAGTGTTTCTAAAGAGAAAAAAAAAGGGAAATTTATAAAGTTCATATAATTTTCTCTCAAGAAAATATTAAATTGAAAATTTTAATAAATTATTTCATGTTTTTGCCACTTATTTTTGAAATTTAGTTTTTTGAGTATTTTAAAAATTATAAAATCCAGTTTCTTCATTAAAAAAAATTAGTAAAAGGAAAAAAAGAACAATAGATTGCAATCAGAAATGAATTTATGACGTCGACATTAACGGAAGCGGGAGACTTATGTTCTCTTTTAGAAGATAAAAAAAAAAAAAAAAAAAGCTCGCCACTCATGTGAAGCTCTGTTTTAAAAACTGGGTCACATTCATTATATTTCACGCGGTCGAGAGAATGTCGGATCCCTAAGGGTTACTTTCACATAACCACACAACCCATCTTTCCGTCATGCTTTTACCCCAACACTTACACTTTCTTTCTTTAAATCTAGAATTACTTTTGCCTCAAATTTCCCCTCACGATCTGGTTAACGCTTGTTTCATTAAACGAACAAATGCTCGACTCATGTTAATGGAAACATTCCATTTGAATTTAAACACTTCCACGTTCCATTTAGTTGTCTTTTTTAACAAAAATTACTGCAAAAATAACCAAAAGAAAAAAAAGAAAAAAAAAAACTACTTTGAAGAAAAATTCAAACGCTTTTATCTACTTTCTTTCATTTAAAATACTTTTTTCTTTTTGCTTTTATAAAAAAAATCTCTTTAAATTAAAAATTTTTTGAAAATATTTTCTTTTAATTTTAATTTTTTCATGTAAAAATTTAATCAATATCGAAGAAATGAATATTTTTCTTAATTTTAATAAAAATGTATTGACTAAAATAAGAATCTATTAGGAATAAAATTTCAAGCTTTCTATATTAGATAAAATGGAATTGCCACAAAATTTTCATTATAATTTTCCCTGATTTCCAGATAATATTTTATGTATTTTTCGAATTTTGTTCTATTTTTTTATCAAATTTTAATTCTATTTAAAAACAAAATTTTTGATAAATAAAAATTCGATCAAATGAAAATTATGTTAAACAAACATTGTATGAAGAACAATTTAAATTCTTCAAAAAAATTTAATTACATAATATTTTCAAAAGTTAAATTTAAAAAAAAAAAAATAATTCAATTATTCTTAAAGCTTTTAATAAAATTTTACGAAATTTCAATTACTTACAATTCTTTAAATTCAATATAATCAAAAATTCAAAGTGATTTAATTTCAAGGCAAAAAAAAAAATAATTTCCCTGACTTGTGACAATTCTGTAAAATAAAATATTATTAAAAATGACAAACCTTGAGCCAGCGATTTTTCGCATTTTTTCCTTTTTCTCAATTTTCTCCTTTTCTTTAATTATCAATAATTTTTCTTCGTCTTTTTCTTTTTCCAAGGTACTTCTCTGAGCTCCAACAGTGGCTAATTTACTTGGATTCTGCTCACGCAACATCAATGATATTATCTAGAAATAGGTGCAAAATTTTATACGACGTTTATTTACCTTTATGAACGCTAATATTATTATAATAATAATAAATAATTTAAAAATAACTACCTCTAAAATTTGCATATGATAATGTTGTTCGCTTCTATTACTTGCAATGAAAAGTAAAAGATCAACAGTTCCGGACGAATGTAGAGCAAATAATAACTGTAATAAAAAAAAATGAAAGTTGAAAAAAAATATATCAGAAAAATTGCTACAAAAATTGTAAATAAAAATTATTAAAGTGAAATGGTACAAGATTTATTACCTCATCATGTGCAGTTGCGTCATTATCAGTTCGTAAATCATTATCAGGTGGTGGAATTTGTAAAACATTCCTGATAAACGTGAGAATACGTTCAATTATTATTTCATTTTCCTCTCCTCTTTCCGCTGTATCCTGTTTTAAAATAATTTAAAAATGTGAGTTAAAAAGTAATTATTTTATATTTGAATAAAATCTACTTTTGTCTTTTATAATAAAATTACAAAAAAAAACAATACAATTTTATTCGACTATTATTTGAAACCAAAATTGTTTTTAAAAATATTATTAATTTAAATACCAAACGAAAAGAAAAGTAAAATTACTCACAATACTCAATAATTTGCCAAGATGATCTCTAACCGTATTCCAAACTCCTTCTTCGGTAAGAGCAATTTTGTAGCCTTGCAAATGGGAAACGATTTCTTGATAAAGGGTTCGGGTGACTTTCTCCGTAGGCAATTCTTCATTATAAAACATCAAAGCTGAACTCGTTAAATTTATCATCAACCTAAAAGGAAATATATCAATTGTAGGTAATTGTTTCTTTCGTTTCATTGCACAGTGAGAATCGATATTAAATTTTCAAGACATGCGATGAAAAGCTTTTTCTCTATTTATTGATTGCTATTCACAATTCATAAACCTCAATATTGTTAGCAAATATATATATTGTGACCGGAAATTGTAAAATGCAATTAGTGCACCTTTTTATGAAATTAATTTGAAACCTTCTTTAAAAAAAATTTAATTGAAAACAGAAAAATGTTTTTACTATTTACTATTTATAAAAATTTTAAATCTTATTATTAATAATTAGTAATTTATTGAAATTATATTAAATTATTTAAATTTTCTTACCGTAAGAGAACATCCCAAAGTTCTTGTTTCTCGGAATGTTCGACAAATATTTTAATGAGATCAGTTTGAACAATTTTTGAGTGTCCGAGATAACGACGAACAACATGAGTATTGTCATCTCTTCGTAAATATTTTATTAAATCTTTTATCACCTCTGGAATAAAATTAAAAAATTATTAAAGGTAATTATGAAAAAAATTTGTTGAGAAACTTACCAAGACAATTTTTATCCAAATGATATTTATAACCATCGTAATAACCTAAAGCATCGCAAGTTGCTGCCAATTCAGCAGAAATATATGGAGTAAAATCCGTCATTTTATTATTTTCCTTGTACTTTTCGATTAATCTAATTGTTTAATTAGTCTCTGAAAAATATTCAAAATTTTACTGCAAACATGTATCTTAAAAATAAACGTGATAAATTTTCATATTATGCTAATGAAACAATAAAAATTAAAAAAATAAAACCTATTTACACATAATCAATAAAAAAATTCGAATAAAAATAAGGATATTTGGATTTAGATTGATTGATCAATGTTTATGTTTTTAGGTTATGTTACCGGTGTAAGAAAGAAAATGAAGTAAATAATCAAAAGAAATTATAAATATTAATTTCAAACTGAAAAATTGGATTTTTTTTTCTAAATATTAACTAAATTCTTTCACTATATAGTTCAATTTGTCAAAAGAGAAAGAAAATGGTAAACATACCAATGATTTACGCAACTGCAAACTCGCTGCACATTTTTCACTGACACGTTACCGCTATTACACTATATATATATATACTTCGCAAAAACATACACACACTGAATTAAAACGTACAACATAACTTATTGCCCGAAAAAACAAACAAAGAATATCAACACGTGTATTTTACATGTTTACATGCAGGCAGCAACAAGTTACAATGAATAAAAACGCGCGCAAAAATTAATTGCCGCCATATTGAATATTTTTCCATCGCGTCATTCTATTGGACGAGGAATTCACCAATAAAGAATTGAGAGGGAAAATAATTTGAATTTAAATTAGTTTCACATAAATTATTTCTAGAAAATCGTATTTTTAGTAATAATTATAGATAATTATTAAAAAAAATTATTTTTAATTAAAAAACATTTTAAAAAAATGATTTACATTAGTAATAAAGTTATTTTGAGAATTTCTGAGTGAAAAATTTTCAAAAATATTATCACATACAAAAATTGAATTCCAAAAGTTTTTAATTGAAAAATCCTTTCAGATAATTGAATTTTTTGAAGAATATTATAAAAATCATTAAAAATAATTGAAATTTTTGCAAATAATTAAATTTCAAGTGATTTTGAATTAAAAATTTTTTGGTAATTTTATTTACTAATTTTTTTTTAAATTATAAACTATTTTTCAAATAAAAATTTTATGAAATTCAATAATTGTTTAAAATTAAAAAAAAAATTACCAAATAAAATTACCAAAAATTTCAATTCAAAATCACTTGAAATTCAATACATTTTTAAAAATTTTAATTTAAAACATAAAATTTAATTATTTCTAAAATTTTCCATCTGTTTTCCAAAAGTTTCCAAACTGTTTTTGATAATTTTTATAATATTTTTCAAAAAATTCAATTATTTGAAAACATTATTAAATTAAAAACTTTTGAAATTCAATTTTTGTCTATAATTCCTAATAAATTCTTCACCAACAGAAATCATCAAAAATTTCAATTAAAATTGTAAAAAAAAGGTTTTATAAAATAATGTAATAAATTATTTTCAATTCTATAAAATATTTAATTATTGTTTGAAATTTAACAAAATTTTCAAATGTTTACAATTCAGATTTTTGAAAATAATTGAAATTCAAATGATTTTTAATTGAAATTTGTGATGATTTCTATTTCTAAAAAATTTATTAAAAAATAACGGAAAAAAATTTGAATTTCTTTAAATTGAACATTGCTTTCAGATAATTGAAATTTTTAAAAATGTTATAAAAATCATTAAAAATAATTGAATTTGTGAAAAATTTCATTAAAATTATTAAAAATAATTAATATAGTGAAGAATTTTAGTTAAAAATTTGTTAAATAATTACAATAAAGAAGATCTACATTGTATACTAAAAAAAACTTATTTTGTTTAAAAATTTTATAAAAAAAATGTAAATAAAATGTATAATCCAAGGCCTGAACTGGAAAAATAAAAAATAAAAGAAAAAAAAAATATCATTCATTAGATGTAATTAAATGTCAACATTTGGTTTGTAAAACAAGCCTCGGAATAATTTATAATATTGAAACAGGTTTAAATCGTTAGGCAGTATTAATATGTATACCAAGTTTAGCAGGCATGAATGATACGCAGCTGCATATAATGTGGATTAATTAACGCAAGCCTTAATTTAAATAGAATTAGACTTTCCCCTAAAATTGGTCGATCTACCCTTCGAAAGTCAGTGTAGTGTTCACAAACCACAATTAGAGTTATCAGAGCGAATGTAGAACTGTCTAAATGAGGGTAGATAATTTTAGTCGGTAAAATGGCAATCCCTATAATGTTTTCAAAAAAATTCCATTTCATAAAATTTGTTAAAAATCGAAACGAAAAATCTCCTCTCAGGAGAAATATAATAAATTATAATAAATTATAAACTATAAAATAAATAAAAAAAATAAATAAATAAACTTACTTGTGTTAATTACTCAGGACGATGATCGGTGCCGAGGGGATGTATAATATGAAATTCGCTGAGAAAGCAAATTAAAATAAAGGAAAAATAAATTGTGTAAAGCAAAAAGCCGTAAGAGCGCCTGGCAAGGAAACCAGTGGCAGTTAAATAAATCATAGATGCCAATAATGAACAAAAGAGAAATGCTAAACATCCAGGGGCCATATCACTGATTCGAATTTGAATTAAGTTCCCCTCGGCACGGGCTGCAGCTATTCCATAAGTCAGTCCTAACCCCAATAAAGTATTAAACATCGGTCCACCAAAGCATGCGGCATAACCCATTCGTGGAAAACCTTTCTTTGCTATTGTTACATTCGATATTAAATCTGCAAAATAAAATACAATTTTTAAAAAAATTTATTTCTTAAAAAAAAACGTTTTTTGTTTCATCTTATATTTTAGAATTTCGCAGTGAAAATCCAATTATACTTCTTTAACATCAGAAAATCAAAAAATTAACAGCTCATTTTATTTTTATTTTAAATCAAAAAATTTAACGTTCAAATTAACCGCTTTTACAATCTGTTTCTGAATAAACTTTTTTTTTTTATTTTGAACATTATGTGGAATCGTTTACACAGACAAGTACTTTTTTTTACGATTGTGTTAGAATTGATACTTTTTCAAATACTTCTTTTTTTTACATTTTATTTTCTCTTTATATATATTATTTGGATTTCATTTAATGAGCAAAGGCGTTTTCGACAGTGAAAATTACTTTTTAAACTTAAAAAAAAAATTAATTTCAGTAAAATTTTTCGAAACTTTTTTGAAGATTATTGAATTTATAAAAAAAATTTTAAATGAATCTGACTTTAGAAAAATTTCAATTTATACTTTAAAAGTTGGTTTTATGGATAAAAGTCGAAAAAGAGATTTGATTTTTTTAATTTTGTTAAAAAATATAAAATGGATACTTGGACTTTTAGTTAAAATTAAGGATTTTTATGTACTAATTTAAAAATTATCTTCCCTTTTTCTTAATTTATGTAATGCCTGTAATAATAAGAGAAATAATTTTGAAATAAATTTCAACTCACCACCAATACTATTGCCCCATGCAAGAAATGTTATTCCCAGCATTGCATCTGATATTCCACTAATGTAACCGATACATTGAAGTACTAACATCACTTCTCCTGCTACGAAATAAACAACGAACATCGCTGCTCCAAATCCCAGAAAAGCAAAACCCTTTAATAAATAAATTAATATATTAGCCAGAATTATTATTTTATAATAAAAAAAAAAAAAATTTTTTTAAATTATTTTACAATAAAATTAAATACAAAAATAAATTATAAAAATTTATAAAAAGTATTAAAAATTAATATGATTATTTTATTATATAATTAATATGATAAGATAATTTAATTATAAAAATTAATAAAAAGTTTTTTTAAAAAAAACTCACATTATGAAAGTATGGAATTCTATCCGCAGAAGTCAATAAAAACACAATTATGGCAATTCCAGCAAAAATTGGCACCCCTAGTGCAATTGAAGGTACCATATAAATCTTCGAATTCCACGCTGAAACGTTGATAATTAGAATTTAATTAACGCATAAAAGAAAATAATGACTGAATAATTCACACATTTTCAATATAATTAACTTATATAACAATTCAGAAACTTCAAAGTGATAATTGACATTATTTCTAATTAGGAATATCATCTGAACAAAGAAATTAATTAATTCTAAATTCTACCAATATATCGAAATAAAAAATTAATTTTTAAAGATAAATTGTTTCATAAAAAAAATTTAATTTTTAGAAATTATTTTTTTTCTCATAAAAAAATTAATTTTTAGAAAATTTTTTTTTTTCACACACTAACCTTTAAAGAAAAAAAGAACAATAATTGGCGTCAAAAATAATTGCAAACAATTTAACAATTTTGACCATCCTCTTTTTTCAGCAATTTCATTAACCACTGGAACGCATAACTGAAGGAAAAACATAAATGGTGTACGAATTACAAGAACAGTCTTGAGAAATACGTTTCCTGATCTCCAGTCGTCAATGTTTATTGGCGATACGTCGAAAAGAAACTCTCGAAAAAGACCCTTAGGTCGTGAGGATTTTTCTTTCTCTTGCAATACTTGTTGTTCTAATGGCTCTTGATCCAATTTATTTCTTTCCATTTCCTTTGCAATGGCAACGTCTAATTTGCGTAAACAAAAAATAGTTTTTTTTAAATTATATTTAAATCACACTTTTAAGTAATTAATTGAAAAAAATTTTTAAAAAAACTCAAAAACTCGTAAAAGAGTTTTTAATTAAGAAAAAACCATTTAAAAATTCAATTAAAACAATTCTTTTTCTTTTATTAAAGATTTCGATTTTTTTTTCTGTACTTAATTATTATTTAATTAATTTAAAAAAATTTTCTATTTTAAAAAATTAACAATTTTAATATTTAATTAAAAACTCAGATTTTTAGTTAGTAATAATGAATCTAATTTTTAATTTCAAATTTACCAACTAGATGAATATTGTTAAAATTTTAAACATTTAATGTTTTATTAACTGTTATGAATTTTTTTTTAATTAAGTTCTTGTTGCTTTTGTCCACAAGAGGGAAATTAGGTTTGCTTATTTTACATGCAAACCATCATAACAAAAACATTACCCCCCCCCCACAGCCAGTAAGAAGGCTTTACCTCGAAATTCACTGAAAACTAGGTTTGCCTTATTATGAATGAAAACCCTTAGTTGGATTTTCTCTTTTATGATAAATATGGAAAATAAATAATAATAATAATAATAATGTGCATTCGAAAATTTACATTATTTCTGAATAAATAAACTCACCAAGTTTTGTTTGAAGATTAACTGCACGAGATCGAAGTTGTGGATGATAAGTTATGTCTCTATTCGTCAGAAACATTCTCAAAATTTCTACGTCTACCATTTTTGGAAAACGATCTATAAATTGTGGAGAAAATTTATATTAAATTAGCTTTTTTTTGAAATAGAAATATTTAAAATAAAAATCAAATTTTGATAAATTAAAAGAACAAAAGTAAATTAAAATAAATGAATAATTAAGATTAATGAAATTTACTCTCACTTTTTATGTTTTCCTCTCTTGAATCGTAAACTTGCATTAAAACGACAGTTATAATAAAGAGAGCATACAGTACAATACAGCCTGAAAAAATCAACAATTTTTATAACTCATTGAATTTTTTTTTTACTATTTTATCGTATTATCAGGCCTCAGATCGTCTTTAAGGTACAAAAAAAGTCGTCTTAGTCGATTTATATTCCAAAAAAAGTCTAAAAAGTCGATTTTTTTATTTTAATAAAATTTAATTGTTTAATGAATATTTTACTTTAAATAACTAATGTTATTAGATATTAAATTCATTTTATTAATTTTAGTAAATAATTAAATTTCAAGTGATTTGAATCAAAAATTTTTGGTAATTTTATTTTGCTAATTTTTTTAAAATTGTAAACAATTGTTAAATTTTATAAAAATTTTAATTGAAAACTAGTTTAAGATAATTGAATTTGTGAAGAATTTGATTAAAATTATTAAACATAATTAATTTAATGAAGAATTTTGGTTAACAATTTTGTAAAAAAAAAAGTAGAAAAAGTCGCGTTTTATTAAAATAAGTCGAAAAAAGTCGTATAATCCGAGGCCTGTATTATATTATTAATCTTAAATTAAAAAAAAAATTTTAAACTATATATGTAGCAATCTTCTTTTCATAATATTATTATTAAAAAACAAATTATTAATAAATAAATTAATAAAAAATTATTTAAAAATTATTCTATTTCATATTTTATTATTAATCTTAAATTAGAAAAAAAATTTTAACTATGTATGTAGTAATCTTCTTTGAAAAAAAAAATTTTTCCCAACTCACTTAAAGCTTCCCATAAATGAATAATTTGATCGTTGACAAGATAGCATATCCAACCGGTAGCTAAGATATAAAAAGAGCAATCTCTCAAAAAGGACTTCCAATGCACTTGAAATGGCGCAAATACAGCCACAGAGCCAGCAATGAGAGCAGTGACGAAAACTCCAGCTCCTATTAATTCTGTGAACATGATCATACTGTCATCTGGGCTGGAAGCCAAAGAAGTAAATATGTCAGGTGCTCCATTTCCAAAAGCTAAAATTGTCACTCCAGCAATACTATCAGAAAGTCGAAATACCGTGGAAATTACTCCCAAAGATGGACAAAAACTAAAATTAAAAACAATTTTTATATAAAAAAAAAAAAAAAAATTAGACAATGAATAGAAAATAAACAATTTAAAATATTAAAAAATTGAAACATTAAAATTTATTAATTAAATTAAAAAATATTTATTATCATTTTATTATGTTTTAATTTCTTTTTTGTTATTTATTAATTAAACTTTACTACACACAAACACCTGCTGTACACCAAAGTTGAGATAAAGCCCTCTAACAGGAGCGATGCCCCTATCAGTGGTTTTACTTTGACTTTCGTGTGCGTTGGGTTGCTGTGTACTGATTTGTGTTAGTATCACAGAAGCTATATACATTTTATTGCTCAACTTTTTATAATAAAAATAAATAAAAGCAAAAAATAGTTAATTCGATTTTTTTCTTGAAATTATTTCATTTAAATCGAATCTAAAATAAAAATAAATTAAAACCAATTTAAAATATACATTAAAACTAAATTAAAAATAAATTGAAAAATTAATTAAAAACTTAAAACTGCTCTTATTTAAAAAAAAAATCTGTTTTTAATTTATTTTCCAATTTTCTAAAAATAAAATTAAACTTACAAATTATCGGAAGTTGTTGCGAGAATTAGAAAAAGGTAAAGTAGCCAGAGTATCAGTAAAATACATCCTAGAATAAATAAAGGTGGATTTTCAGTAGTGAATGTGCAAAACAGTATTTGCGTGTAAGAAAATCCGTAATTAGCATCACAATCTGGAGTTTTCTTCACCCATTCGCATCGTTCTTTTGCTGGTATTTGCCAGACGTACGAACAATCGTCCTACAATTTTTCACCATTTTTTTTTTTTTTCTTTCATAATCAAATATCGTTCATAAATATTTACGAGATAAATTAAAATATTGATTTAAATTTTTAATTTTGCCTTGAAAATTATTTTTGTCTTTTTTTTTAAATATTTTCTTTCTTTTAATATTGAAATGTTTATTTTTGTATTTTTATTTTTTATTAAAAATAAATAAAAATTGAATTTACCTGTCTTATTGATAAACCCCCATATCGCATATATGTTTCTCCCACAATTTCTTCAAAAAACGGCATTGTAAAATTATTTAATTAATTATTTTCAACAAATTCAAGGTTAAGACAAATTTTCTCTACTAATCGTTTTGAAGTTATCCACTTTTTTCTTATTTTGTTTTTCATAAATCTGTATTTTCTACGAAAATAATAAAATAAAATTTATTTTATTAATTTTCGTTCATTGTTTCTATTTTTAGTTTTTATTTTATTATTTTCTATTTTTATTTTGAATTAATTATTAAATATTATGTAAATAATTAAATGTAAATTATTACCGTAAATAAAATCATCCAGTGAATAAATTTTCATCATTTTTTTTTTGATTAATGAATTCGAGTTAATTAAGATATTTCGTTATGATTTTGCAGCAAAAATATATTCCACGAATACTTTTCATATTTGCATAATATTATATATATATATATATATTCTAGGCATAGAGAGAAGGCATCAATGCAACGATGGTGGCGGTGGCTTGAGGTTGAATTCAACAGGACACTCGTCAATGTGCTCCAGAGCAAGAGATGCCCAGCTCATTAGTGCTTCTGCTTGTGCCAGCTCTCGTGTAAAGCTTGACAGACGATCAGTAACAAGAAGGAAAGAGACTGAATCGTGTTTCCGTTCCAAGGAAGATTCTCCTGTAATTATCTGCTAAAAATAAAAATAGTTAAAAAAAAAAAAAAGAATAGATGATAAAACTTTTATAAAAATGTTAAATATAGGTCACATTAAAGTCGATATAAAAAATATTTATTCTTATAAAGTTTTTTTTTTTTATTTTTAAGCTTGCGGAAAAGAAAATTGTAAAACTTTATATTGGAGAAAATAAATAAATAAATGTAAAAAAAAATTTACTTTTAAATATAATAATTTTAACGTAAAATTTCAGCAAATTTAGAAGAAAAAAAAACAAAGTGTTAATTTATTAAATATTACAAATTATTAATGTTAACAAATAAACTATTAAAAAGTTTCTTAATTATTGTTTTTACAAATATATGTTATTATTAAAATTGAATCTCTGTGAATCAAATTACTAAAATTAAATCGTAAAATTAGTTTCTGTAAATAATAAAAATATACCTGTTCCAAAAAAACGAGTCAAATAGAAGTTTGAACAAAAGTTCGAATTACTAACGTATATTTAAGTACACAGTTCAATTGTCATTTTCTTAATATTTAATTTAAAATTATGAATTCAACTGTTTTTTTTATAAAAGAGCAAAAAACAATTAGTTTATAAACATAACCTCATTTTCATAACGAGTTTCATCTAATCACACAGAAGATCAACGAATATTTTAGTCATATGTAAATTATAAAGATAAATTTAAAACAAGTTTTTCCTCCTAAGTACTTTAATTAATTATTTTTTACATTAATTTTAAAATAAAAATTGAAAAAACGATAATATATACCAGTCAACAAAAGTTGATACTAGCGCCACGGAATTAAGGGGGAACTAAAACACGATGAGTAACTTCTAACTTACCGACTGCTTTTTGAATTCAACCGTTGAAAGTGTTGTTTATCGTTTTCTTTCCGCAATGTTACATTTTATCTCTGTGTTCTTGTTTACAAGCAAAAAAATTATTTTAATAAAGTAATATTGACAGTGAAACTCATAAGACTAATTGAAAAATAAGCTCCAGGACTATTGCTTCAAAAAATGTTTCGACAGAAATTTTTTTTTTGGTAAATATAAAGTCTTTTCTGTTTCGAATATGTATATGTATATTTTAATAGCAGAGGAATGCTAATTTTTAGTTTTTTTTAAATAGTTTAACGCTCCTGATATCTGGAGGACGAGGAAAAAATTTGGTTATGAAAACAAAAAATACCAAAAGAGGTTAGGAGAACAATATCAGAAAAATGTAAGTGTATAACCTATAATTTTTTTTTTAGTGTAATAAATTTTTTCAAATAATTTAAAATAAAACATTATAGAGAAAAATATATATTAACTCGTAAAAAAGACGTATATATATATATATGTTTAAAAATAAAATATATAGTTAGGAATATATATTATTTATATACGTATGTGTATATTAAAAGTTGGAAATATATTTTTCCCGCGAGATGGAAAGTATAGCGAGAGCTACAAAAGTTGAAAATATTCATAAGCTGCGTCGTAGAAAAGTAAAAAAGACGTATGAGCTAACATTATGATTTACAACACAGTATATTTTACTTCCTTCGTAGCTTTGCACCAAGCACTTCCGGTTGCTGTATCTTTTGCACTTTAAGACGATGTTTTGTACAAAGTACTATATATCTACTAAATTCTTAAGAAACAAAAAAACATTAAAAAATTTACGCAATAAATTCTTTTTTCAAAAACATTATAATTACAATAAAAAAAAAAATAAATAAAGTAAAATTTTATATTTACATTAATTTGAAAACAATTTTGTAATTATAATGGAATAATAAATTCATAAAGGTAAATTACGCCGTTGAAAAGTCATTGGAGCAGGAAACCTGAAATCGTATAAGTTAGAATACAATGAGTCACTCTAGTAAAGTTTAGAGGCTACCCCTAATAAACTCTTCCGCTTCCGTGGCCATTTTACTTTGATAACTATATATATATACACACAAGTGTATATATGTCCTTGTAAAATTGTGTGCCACACTGAAAACTATAAAGTGGTAAAGAAAATTTTACAAAATCTTCTTTTCTTTATAGCTTAAGCGCGTATAATTCCATTTTCAATAAAAAGCTTTTATATTTTTCATGCGTACCATAAAAAAAAAAATGTTCTTAATACTTTCATTGTAAAAGAAAACGATAAAAAAAAAATTCCCGATAAAGTAAATCTGGGATTTGAAATACGTTTTTCAATTTGTTCTTTCTAAAATATGTTTCTTTTTACAAAAAAAAATTGTCATCATTTATTTCTTTAAAAAAATTTTTTGATTTGCAAATTATTTTTTTAATTTCCACAATCAAACGCGATTTTCCCCTCTAAATGAATATTAATAATAAATGGAGTAAAAATTTCTTTTATTCAATTTACCGAAAAAAAAAAAAAAATTGTAGAAAAATTTTCAATCATAATATTTTTTTGTAATATTGATTTTGAATATTCTGCATTGCTGTGCCATCTAACTGGTTGAAAATCAACTGTGTAAATTCAGAAAAATTTAAAATTATATTTTTAAACATTTTTAAAATTGAGAAAAATTTCTCAACAATTCATAAAGTAAAATTTGTTAAATAAATTTCCGCAAATTAATCGTTATTTTATTTTTTTTTTTTGTATTACCAATAGGAAAATCTCCTTTATCGGTTTCTCACTGTCTTTTCAAATATCGGTACGTTAGATAATTTGAAAATAAAAATTTGGCGGTAAATAAATTTTCAAAAATTTTTCAACTCTAAAAGTACAAAATTTTGTATTATTTCGATTTTTCTTCTTCTATTGTTTCAGTAATTTTTTCTAATACGTAAAAATAATTATAAAAAAATACTGAATCATAAAAATCAATAAAAATTTATATTTTATTAAAAAGATTATTTTTGGGATTTTTTTATATAAAAAAAAATTATATATTAGCTGTTACAATAATTAACAGAAATTTTTTTTTTGCAAAATTGGAATTATTTTTTTTTATAATAAAAAAAAAATTTTGCCTACTTTTTTTTGAAAACCTGCAAAAAAATGTTCTATGGTTATCATTTGATATTTTTGAAAATATATAATCAAGATATAACTTCGCATGTTAATCATTTATTAACTTATCTTCACATACAATAGTATTATGCGACAATCAAACATCATATAAACAAAATTTACAAAATAAAGTATAACTTTACAGCTAAAAGCTACTAATTGTAATAGATCACATAGCTTCATATTTTTCTTGGGCCAGCAATAATTTTCCTTGCGTCCCAAGTCCATGTTCTTTTCATTTCCATTTATTTTTTATTTTTCATGCTCTATCTTCTTATATATATATATATATATATATTTATATTTATATATATATAGATTTTTTTTATATATAAATATTATGCCAGATATTAAATAATTGTAGCTTTGCTAATTTATCTAATCGCGGAGCAGGGAGGCGAGGAGTTTCATAATACAATATTATTTATACAACTAATTTTAGGTTAGGGTCAACCTTCTTTTCATTTATCTGTAAATATAAAATTATCATCTCTTACTATCGTACCACCGATTGCGGATTCGTATTATATTTAACTGTAAATTTGCGTGTCTGCAATATCTATTACGTGTTTTCTTGTTATTATATTTCTTTTACAGCCAAAAAAAAAAAAAAAAAAAAAAAAACATTCGTCACAACTTTATCTCATTTCTTCAATAACAAATATTATTTCTTTCTTTTCTAGTCTTCATCTTTCACAATTGAATTTTCTTTTGAATTAAATTAGCAAAAGCCTATTTATGAAAATTATTTTATTTCAAAATTCTAAAGTCGACTAAGTTCAAAGTCAATAAGTTTTATAAAAAATTCTTTTGACACAGAACATTGCTCCCGATTTAATTTTTTTTTTTTTTTTTTTTTAGAGGGGGTTAATTATAAAATTTGATTTTATTCGAGCAATTTAAATTACATACATTTGGTTCCAAAGATTTTAATATTCTCTATGCTGAATAAAATTTTCAAAATGTTTATATTAAAATCAATTTCCTTTTCCTGATAATCGTTATTTAATAATTTAATTTTCCATTTACTTTTTCTATTATTACTTTTTTTTTCTATTTTCTTTATTTATTCTTAAATTCTAACATCCTTTTAATTATTGGCTTCTTTAATTAATTTTCTTATCACTTTGACTAATTTTGATTCAAATCCTTTTGAAAAAAGATTTTTGATTATATATTATGTCCCTTCGAAAAAGTCTCAATAAAAATTCCATTAAATTTGTTTTTTCTTTATACAATTCACAATTGGATATGTTGAGTTATATATTTGAAAAACGCGTTGATTTTTTTTTTTTTTTTTTTTTTTTTTTTTTTTGAAATATTTGGGGAGGGGGGGGAGGAAGTTAATGAGAAGAATCAGATGGTTGTGAACGAACGTCAAACGCCAATAGGAAAAATATTGTGTTAGGTCGTAGCTTTTGATTCATTTTGATATAGTACCGATGATGACTACTTGTTATCATAAGTTTAGGGCCCATACATTGATTATCATCGTATTTACAACAACTAAGAAATAATCTTCAAAAACCCGTACGTCGAAATACAAATTACAAATTTCCTACCAATTCGAGTTTTTTCTTTATTCATGAAGTTTAAAATGTTTGGTGCATAAAACAATATTTTTTTTTTCCAAAAAAATATTTTCTTTTTAAAGAAATTTGAAATCAAATTAAAATTAAAAATTTAGGTAATTTAAAAATATTTATATTTTAAAAAGAAAGACTAAAAACTAATTTTTAAATAAAAAATCAATTAATTTATAAAAATTTAATTTACTAAAAACGTTTAAAACTTCAGAAATATTTTTAGCGAATTTACGAATTATATTCGATTTTGATACTTTTATTTCGCTTATTGTCATTTCCTCTTGACTCTAAAAAAAAGAGTTACAAGAAATATTCCTCAAAATATCTTTTCGACACAATTTTTTTTTAAATTAATCAAAATTATTCTTTTCTGGCATATAAGAGAGTCAAGCAGAATTTCGGCAATATTCGTGTGTCTCTTTGTAATTAAATTATTTTCTATAATTTGAAATTTGTTCGGTTTTTTTTAAGATTTCGAAAAAAATTGAAAGTACATAAAATTTGTATTTTGAAAATCGGTATTGATTCGATATTTTGTTATTTATGCTATTTTGAACTATTTTTGCTCATGCATTGTTTTTTCTTTTCCATTATTATTATTATTATTATTATTATTATTTTACTGCTAATATGGTAAAACATCGTAAAATGTGGTATAAAACTTACAGGGATTAAAAATCGAGAAACTGATTCAGTGAAATGTTGAATCTCTTTCTTTTTTTTCTTTTTTTTTTTTCTTGTTAAATTACTCTTGCACTGCTTTGGTAAAATTGTAAAAATATTATTATGAACTTGGATTCAGAGTCTCGCAAATTAGCATTGACCTTCCTTTAAGAAAGTTTGTATAAAACTTTACTGTTACAAAACTATTCAAAGTGTTTGCAGTACCAAAATACTTTTTTTTCTTTTTGATTAAAAGTCACAGTCTTCTCGAATTCCACTCCATCTAATTATAAATTTCATTTTAATTTTTGAAATTCATAATTCTTAAAGCTGATTTTTTTTTTTTTTGACATCGGATTTTTACAAGATTACCTTAGTGACACATTTTTATTTTTTAATTCTCGAGATGAAACTTTCAAATCAATGAATTCTATTACAACATTAAATATTTTTTTTTTTAAAAAAAGCCACTTATATTCTCATAAACTTTGAAAAAAGAGAAATTTCAAATACTTTGTGAAATTTTCAGGAGACGATTTTTTTTTTTGTTTGCTTGAGTGGACGTTGTAAACTACGTTTCTCGTTTAGAAAAAATTTCCAATAATATCAATATTTTGAGTAGAGTTTTATCTTATATTTTGAGTGGACAATTATTGGAAATTTGTACATTACAAGAATTACTTTGATCATAAAAAAATATTCCTATTAAAAGTGTGTGTGTGTGTGTAATACAAATCTCTCTATTTAATAGAGGTTAATACGATTTAAGCGCACGTAATATTTAAATTACATTATTATGCGTACAAAGCTGTATTGAAAATTCCACAGATTTTAATATCGGCAATATAAAGATATGTATATAGCGAATCTCGAGATTTTAAATATAATCAGAATTTTCTTATAAATTCTTTCATTCAATATTTAAATACGAGAATCTTTTCAATCGTTTCACAATAAAATAAAATTTACAATAAAATAGTTATTAAATAAAAATTTGTTTTTCCATAAAATTATTTTACGATAAAATCATTTTATAAAATCACTTTTAAAATCTTTTTTTTTTTTATTATTATTAATACCGATTTACTGTAGTAGAACCGATTTTTTTTTATAGTCACGTTATAAAATTGATATCTGTTTTTTTAATACAGCTTTGAACAAAAAAAAAAAAAAAAAAAAAAAAAAAAAACGCAATTAAATTTCTTTTGGTGCGATACACTTTCATTTTGAATTTTTTGTTGTAGCAAATCACTTTAAAAATCTGTTTTAATGTTCTGATTAAAATTGCTAAAATATGTACATCACTATATAAATTTGCTACTTGAAATCGTTTCTTTATCAACGAAATAGCGTATAATTTTACAATTATTCAAAAATATATATACAACCCGTTACAACTTTGATACTTGGCGAGGAATCATTTGACATTTTTTTTTTTTTGAATTTTACAAAATCTAGGAACTTAATTATCTGCATATATATATATATATATTATTTTTGAATTGCCCGTTTATATGTATATTTTTCGGAATTATTTTTTGATTATCAAATTTGAAAGACCTGCAGATTCATTTTCTTGAGTTCTTAATTTCAGTATTTAAACAAAAACAGTTAAAATATATTTAATTAATGCTTCTAAGCGATTTTAATTTCCAACATCGGAAATTTAAATTCTTTTTTGTAAAATTGATTCTTTTTTTTGTAGAATTTAATTTAATTCAAAAGTTTAGTAATATTTTTGAACTCTAAGCAGATCGTTGAAATTTTGAAAATCAAAAAAAAAATTACTGAAAAAAAAATTGAGTTTTAACAATCATTTTTCCCACCGAAGTATTATTATATTATCTTACAATTCATGACAATGATACAACAATAAAAACCCCTCCCTCTCCCTATCTCTAATCAAAATTAAATTCGTCAATAAATGTTAATAACTTGCAAATATTGCTCGCAATATTTCATTTGAAAAATAATCTCCGATTTTTTAATTACCACAATTTTTTTTCTCCAAGAAAAATTTTAATTAACACTCTATTACTATATTATTATTATTATTATTATTCTAATTGTATATTTTATTCTATAAAAAATTTTTTAATCGAGATTTTTTTTTTCAAAGGAAATTTTTTTTTCAAAGCAAAAAAAAAAAAATTATTGACATTTGTCGACGATTTTAATTAACAATTTTTCGTGAGTATTGTTTCCATTTTTTTTTTGGGGGGGGGAAATGGAATTCTCTCCTTTACATCATATTAGGCCTAATTATATACAAGATGTGTCGTAGTTACAAATAAAATATGAGAAAAAAAAGAAAGAAAAAGAAAAATGAGATCGATAATGACGATGATAACGATTTGAATGACAATAATTAGAGAAAATAAAACAATAGGTATTATAATTATATAAATCTATCAGTCACGTCTTGGACGCGTCATCACCGGGTTACAATTTTTTTTTTTTTTTTTTTTGAAGGTCACCGGTATTGTTTCTTTTCTGATTTTGTGGAGTTTTCTGCGGATTTCTTCGTCCTCCTTGCCTCGACTTTGGACGAGGTTGTTATTAAAGGGATTGCTTTGGACCCTTTAGAACCTTGTCCGTTGCTATTCACCATTTTGATCTTCTCTTCTTGTCTCGAAATTGTCCGAGACTCGCTTGCCTTGTCCAGTTCTGCCATTGCCTCTTGGATGGCGTTTTCCAATTGCATATTCAGTTTACGACTTCTATAACCACATGACAAGACGTCAATTGTTTGTGAAGTTTTTTTATTTGCATTTTTCTATAATTTTTTTCAAGAACTGATTTTTCTCGTTATTTTTTTTTTTCAATTTAATTTTTTGTTAGTTATTTTATTTTATCAACTAAAATTTTTTTTTTTAAATTCGATTATAAATAATTTATTTCTGACAAAAATCAGTTCTTTGTTATTAAAATATAAACTAAATAAATAGTGAAAAAAAATAGAATAAACATAGAATTTGAGATTTAAAAGTGAAAAATTCAAACTACATCATGCAATAATAATTGAATAAAATTAGAAAAAAAGAATTAAAATTAGCTTTGTTTTCTACATTTTTGAAGGACTAAATTGTCACCTTAAAAAGAAAATTCCAGATAAAATATAGAAAAAAAAAATATTAACGATTTCAAAAAAGTTATTACTAAACTGTAATTGGCTGTTGGTTTGCTAATATTAAAACCTTGCCAATTTCAAATCTTCCACTTTTCAATCAATATTTTTTAAATCTAAAATATTGGTCTTTTTTTGGGGATTTTTTATTATATCAAATATAAAAAAAAAATTCTCTCATTTAGTAGATTTTATTAATTTTCAATTTAAATTTAAAAATAAATAAATATAGAGGAAAAATTTAAAAAATTTTTTTAAATTTTTTAAATATATTTTTTTAAAAATGAATTTTTTGTCATTAGCCTGCGGACAAATTTTTTTAAATCTCTTTTTTCGCTCTGGGATTTGAATTTAATTTTTCTTTTTTTTCGAGGGTTCAGTGGGACTCACTTTCGAAATTTTTTTCGTGCGCGATGATGCGCTTCTAGGCCATCAGAGAGGGATTTCAGTGTCTTGACATCGACCTGACTGAGATTGTTGCCATTGCCCCCGCCCCCGTACCAACGAACCCAAACGATTAGACTTCCTGGTGCTCCTAATGATTCAACCTTTCCCGGCCAGGCTGTACTTCCCCGAGCTGCACCCCAAACCACTTCACCGACTTCAAGTTTCCACGGCTTCGCGGCATCTCCCTCATCCTTGGAGGGTACTACTGAGAGCCCAAAATAAATTTTCTCAATTTTTTTTTTTTTTTTTTTTTTTATCATTAAAAATTTAATCCCAAAATTTGTTTACAATTTTTTTTTCTCATTTTCAGCAAATTTTTTTTTTAAATTTCAATTACAATTCATCGATTTTTATTTGAATATAGAAAGAGAATTTGCCGACCAATGATAACTTCCCATCTGTTGGTATTTTTTCACCAAAAAAATACCAAATACTTTTTAATTCTAATTTCCTTTTTCAAAAAAAATTTTTATTTTCGATTTATACATTTTTTTCTGTTTTACCAATTATTATTGAAACATTTCTATATTTGTAAATTTTATTTTTGTAATAAATTTAATTAATAATAAAATAATAATTAATAATTAATAAATTTAAATACAAATAATTATTTAAAAAATCAGAAATTAATCATAATAAAAAATATTTTAGAGACAAAAAAATTGTAAACATTTTTTGAAAATTTTGATTTCTTTATATACTGAAAAATTTTTCTTTCGATTAGAAACAAAAATTGGTTATCTTCACATAAAACAAAACCCATATTAAATAACGACCCAAACACAATTATTAATTAATGTATACAAGGATGGACTTAACTTCTAGCGATTGGTGATATTTCTATAGCAACAAAGCAACGTGTGTGCGTGAATTTAAAAAAAAAACCGTGAAAAATGATTTAAAAAAGTAGTAGCATTGAATTTTTAAAAATTTAAATTTATTTTTTAATTTTTATTTCCTCATTTCTGTATTAAATTGAGAAAAAAATAATTTTTTTTGAGAAAAATTTACTATTCCAATTTTATCAAAAAAAGTACAATAATTATTTATACAGAAAAATATAAAAATAAAATAAATATAAAAAAATATTATTATTTTTTTTAAATTTGTTATTTATAAATTTTATTAAATTTTGATGCTTTTGGTAAAAAAAAAATTTTTGTTTCAATATTTTATTTCTGATGCAACTAGATCAAAATGAAATAATAAATATTGAATATTTTAAAATGATAAAGAAATTTTTTTTTTTAAATCAATACGACTACTTTTTATAATTTGCGATTTTTAAACAATGTAATTTTAAAATGGAATGGGACATCATGCAACAATAATTAAGGTTATTGAACCAATAACTAGTTTATTCTATTTTCATTAATTAAATTAAATAAATATAATGAAATAAATTTAATTAAACAAAAATTAATGAAAAGGTTAAAAAAAAGTTAAAAAATTCAAAAAAAACCTTAATCGTACAAATTGTTGAATTTTCTTATATACATTTATGATTTCCATCCCTATGGCGATTATATGTGAATAAAATTTGTAACGACATTTTCAAGCTGTCACGTGAGTCACCCATTTATGAGAAAACTTGTCGATGTATTAACAAACCTGACAGCCAATTAGTCAAGGCGATAAAACAAAATTATTAATGAACAATTATTTACAGTTTTGCGTATGTTACGTTAATCACTTTTAATTATTTTTTTTTTTTTTTTTTTTATTAATATAAATTACCTTTTTGCCAAAGCGTTGTCAACGTTTAATTGCATTTTTTTCGATACACAATAAACATCATAATTCCAGCTCACTTACCTGCCTTCGAAAAAAAAACTTGTTAATAATGGTGCGAATATGTGCAAAATTTTTTTTTTCTGCAAGCCTCTGATTTTTTTCTAATTGTGCTTTCCATTAATTGTTTTGATATTTGCATCCAGACAAAACTGCTTTTCCGTTTTGTTTCGAATTTCTTCACTAATATATTTTTTTTTGTCTCCTCTTATTGGTTGAAAAAATTAAATTTCCAAAATTTCGTTAATAATTTTTATCAAATCGTCGTGGAAAATAAAATAATTTTAAATAGAAAAGAAAAAAAAAGTTAAATACAAATAAAATAATAATTTAGGGAAATTGAAATTAAAGAAGAATAATTTTGATTTCATTGCGGTGTTGTCTGGCGGAAAGAAAAATAGAAAAAAAAGCCAAATTAGAAACGCTTTTAGAGAATCGATATGGCATTAAAATTTTTCTCTTTGAAAATCAGGATCCCGATGCTTCGATGAAAACGTGTGTATTATACTTTCAAACCATTTGAAAATATTCCCTCTGAATACCAATTCGCTTTTTAGTATGTGGGTGCAAAAGCAGAAAATTTTATACTCGCAAGAGATAGAAAAATAATCTTAATCCAAAGTAGAGCATGCATCTACACATATTAAAATTGAAATAAAGCAAAATTATGTGCGCACTAGTTTACCATAAAATATAAAGCAATAAATATTTGTTAGATACAGCCAAATGGATTAATAAGAAAAAATTATAAATTATTTTTTAAAAAGCTTCTCATGGATGCTGGAGGCAAAATAATTATTTTTAAAATATTAATTACAAAAAATATTGACTTTGCTTTTCCATGTGGATTGAAGCGTTTTAAAAATGAAAAATGAAAATAAAATGAGAAAATTTGCGATCTAAAATACTGATACTGACCATCTTGGTCTTCATGCAGAGTAGAATGCATTGAGTGGATGGAGTCCAATTTTCGCTTGATTCCCCTGCCGAGGGTATCCTTACCCTCGCACCTCATTGTGCTCACTGCACCTTCGGCTTGCTTCGTATAGATCTGTCAAATACAACTCAACTCAGGCACAAGCTTTTTACTATATAATTGCATGCTTTTAGGTTGTTTGAGCGTCAACTTCAATGGTCTCAATGAACCCTGCTTTTCATATCATTATTAATTCAATATTTCGCCTCGATTTGGCTACAAAAAGTGAAATCAAATTTTACAATTTTAAATTGTATTAAACTTTTTCTTTTTCAAACAAAATTACAGAAACAATATTAGAGAAACAAAATTTTATTTTTTAAGTTTTTTTTTAACCAATTTACAGTTGAGTCAAAATTTATAAAGTGTACCAATATATTTAGAATATTCGAAATTTATTAGTTTTTCTATTCAAAACAGTAAATAAAAAAACAAAAATTGCACAGTTTTGACAAATTTGAATATTTATACAAATTAATGTTATAAATATTTTTGTGCGTGATTTTACAAATTTTTGATATTTTATAAATATTAAAATCAATTTGGTGCTTGGCATTATTATTTTTTAACACCACTTTTGATTAATATTTTTTTTAAATTATGTAATTTTGTTAAAAATATATATAATTTATTTAAATAAATAGAAATTAATTTCTCCCTCGTTTATGCAAAATTTTTTTTTTGTTGCATATTATTTTTTCTTTTTGGAAAGAGATTTTAGTTACTTTTAGGAATAATAAGCGCAACAAAAAATATTTGAAAAATCAAGGGAGAAGTTAGATTAATTTCTATTTTTTTTAAATATATTTGAGTAAAAAAATCTATTTATGAATTTTAAATGTGAATTATTTTCAAAAAATTTTTAATTTTTCGTGAATATTTTAATTGTTTTTTTTTTTGTGCCAGACTTGCAAAATTCAGAGCATAATTTATTTTTGAAAAATAAATTTCTTTTGAATATTTCTGAGTAAAAAAATGTTTGGTAATTGTTTAATTATGCGGCTTTTCTCAATTTTCATCTTTTTTTTTAATTTTAAAATGGAATTGTATTTAAAAATTTTTAATAAAAAAATTGTCTTTTATGTGTCCTATATTCAAAATTTATTATTTTTCCAAAATTAAATTTCGTGCTGAAATGTGCTAATCCAGTACAAAAAAGAAACAATTAAAATATTTACGAAAAATTAAAATTTTTTTGAAAATAATTTACATTTAAAATTCAAAAATAGGCTTTTTTTACTCATAAATATTCAAAAATTGTTATTATTTAAAAATAAATTTTGTACTGAATTTTGCTAGTTCAGAAAAAAAATATTTATAAAAAATAACTTTATCTTTAAATTTTAATAATTAACTTTTTTTTCAATCCCTGTTTTGAATAAAAAAAAAAAAAAACGTGAATTTCATGAAAAAATTTCTACTCAAAAAATTATTCGCACACTTCACAAATTTGGACTAATTTTTTTTACTAATTTTCACTTATTGCACTAATATAATTTAAATAATTTGATTTCTCTTTCAATCACCTTTAATCGGGTCAGAAAAATATATTTTTTTTTAGCACGTATTGCATGCAACTCGAAATTTCAAAAAAAGACTGAACAATATTCTCAAACTCTGATTACTCATGCTCATGGCAAGGATTTAGAATCGAATATTAAGAATTATTATCAGAAGGATAATCTTCAGCAAAGAATTTATTAATTTTTTTTTTTTTTCATAATTAAATTTCGAATTCAGCATCTAATACACTAAGTCGTCACGAATTACATTTATTGCAATGTATATACGTTTTTTTCTTTTCTTTTAAATAATAATAATAATGATAATAATTATGAATAATTGTAAATATTTTTCACGCGTTTTAAAACGTGAATAGCGAATAATTATAAATACAAATTAATTACAAACTTAATATATTAACACGTGAAAAACATGGTTTATTTTTTTTCGTAGCGTTATTTTTTTTTTTTTAACTGGGATTATTATGCAGGCGTCACTGGACTCTAATTTTGGTTAAGTAATTTTTTTTTCATTCGTGCTCATTATTATTGCATATTAATTTTAAAAAATTAATGGAATAATTTGCGAATTTATTTCATTAATTTAAAAAAATGAATGCAATAATTTGCGAATTTTTTTTGGCGAAGAAAACTCTAATCCTCCGAGGAGGATTCGCTGTCTTCGTAGTCATTTCGTTGATCGATATAGGCAATGTTATTGTAAACGTAAGAATTGTAATTATCGGTTTGATAATCAACGACAGCAATTTCATTAGTGTCAGAACGATAATTGTAAAGATGTGGATAGAGTTCGGGTGTTGTTATTTCAACTTGATCGGAATAATAAGGAATGTCATAGGTTTGTGTTTCTAAGATTTTAGTTTCATTTGAATTTAATTGAATTTGTTCATTTGGTATTTCTTCGATATCAAGAAAATTTTCTGTCTGTGATGTTGGTGCAATTGTTGGTGTTGTTAAATATTCATTGTCTGACAATAATGTTTGCTGTCGGTACAAATCGGGAACATATTGATGATTACTATAAAGGATAGGTTGATAATGATTTTGCCCTAATGGCAACGAACTATCATCATCACCAATTTCCAATGAGATATCATCACCGATTTCTTTACTCGTATTTTGTTGTTCCTCCTGTGGTGATTGGTCCATTGTGTCTGAATAAGTGGAATGATTTGGTGATGATGTGTCCATATGCTCTTGTGAGTCAACGTATGTGTTTTCAGGGTGTGTCGTATCGGCTTGCTGATGGTGCATATCTGTGAGAGTTAGTTGATGGATGCCCTGTTCTACATGGCTACCAACCTGGATCCCAGTTGTCACTGTTGATTCGACGTATGTCTTTCTCTGATGATGGCCACCACTTTGATTTAGTCGAATTTCCTTTGACCCTTGAATACGCCACTCGTCAGTCATCATTGTCCCGTCACCGGAATCTGGCTCACTGCTCGATACACAATGTACCATTGGCTGAAAATTATTGGTTTTTTATATTAGTTTTAGAAAAAAAAAAAAAAATCAAATATTTTCATATTTAAAAATTGTCAATTATATTCACAAGAATAATTAACGTGCAAGATGTTTTTTTTTTCTTGCAAAATGTTAGCAAACGCTATTTTGTTTTTTTAAAAAACATAATTTTTATACCATTTTCTGTGCTAATTTAGATGTAAAAAATTTTTTTAAAAAAATAATAATTAGGACTCGAATTAAAAAAATTATATATTTTTTTTTAATCACAAAAATTTCACTTCTATGTGAAAATAAACACAGGGCCAAAACAAAAATAAAATACTAAAAAAAAAAAATTATTAAAAGTTTCAAAATTTTTAATAATTAATTATTCAAAATGATTCAAATTTAAACTCAAAAAACCATTTTTTTAACCCATAAATATTCGAAAATTATTATTTTTCAGAAACAAATTTTGTGCTGAATTGTACTAATCGATCAAAAAAAAAAGAAACAATCATAACAATTACCAAAAATTGAAAATTATTCAAAATAACTCAATTTTAAAATTCAAAAAAAAAAATTGTGTCCTTAGTATAATTTTTGTACTTATTTTATTTATCTTGATAATTTCCTTTTATATTTTCGTTTTTCAAAATTTGTTTCTATTCTTGTTCTAATTTGTATTTTTGTTATATTCTTTAAATTTGTCTTTATTTTAATATTTATTTATATTGTTTCATTGTTAATTTATTTATTCTTATTAATTTTCGTCCCATATTAATTTAATTTCTTTGTATTTTTGTCTTTTTAAACTAATTTTTATGCATTATTAGACTGCCTGAATTGGAAATAGGTGTTTTTTTTAAATTGGAGGACATTTTATTAAAATCATTTTATATAAATTGTTATAGTTCATTATAAGAAGATAATTTAGTACAAAATTTATTTTTGAATTTTTTTGGGTCAAAAAAGCGTTTTTTAAATTAAAATTTGAAAATTTTTAATTGATGGTAAATTTTATGATTGTTTCTTTTTGTTCTGAACTTACAGAATATAGAACAAAATTTATTTTTGAAAAATAATAATAATTTTTGAATATTTCTAGTGTTAAAAAATGACTTTTTTTAAATTAAAATTTGAATTATTCTAAAAATTCTTACATTATTCGTAAATTTTATGATTGTTTTTTTTTTGTTCTGGACTTATTGAATACAGAACAAAATTTGTTTTTGAAAAATATAAATTTTTGAATATTTCTGAATAACAAAATGTTTTTTTGAATTTTAAAATTCTTTTATATTGAAAAATTTTAATTTTTCGGAAATATTTTAATTTTTTTTGTGCTTGGCTTGCAGAATTCAGCAAAAAATTTAATTTTGAAAAATAATTTTGAAATATTTCTCTGATGAAAAAAGTGGTTTTGAATTTTAAAATTGAGTTATTTTAATCAAATTTTGATTTTTTCGTAAATGCTGTTTGTTTCTGTTTGTGATCGATTAGCATAATTCAGCAAAAAAAATTTTTTTTTTTTGAAAATAATAATAATTTTTGAATATTTTTGTACTAAAAAATCGTTTTTGAATTTAAATTAAAATTTACATTAGCGATTTTGAAAATTGTATTATTTTTTAAATTTTTGTTTGAAGCCAATATATCTTAACAGATGTTTTTTTTTTAATTTTTTGTTATTAATTAGGCCAAAAATTAAAAAAAAAAAACATCTAATAATTTGTTTTTGTTCTAGTTTTGTATATTTATTTTTCAAATAGAAGAGGTCCGTGAACGTAAAAATGTCCTAATTATTATTTTAAAAAATAAAATTATTTGCAGCACAAATTGGTACAAAAATAATTTTTTTTGAAAAAACAAAATTGGTGCAAAAAATATTTTTTTTTTTTTTGAAAAAAACAAAACGTTGCTAACTTCATTGCACAGGAATAATTAATCTTTACCGTAGAATAAGATTGATTTCTGGTGTTGATCGGTGGTGCAGGCGAAGCAGCACCATGGGTAGTGGTATCCACAGCAGGACTGTTGGATCTTTGACTATTCCCTGGACTGTGTGTCGTTGTATCGGGAGGTGATCCCTGTCTCATCATCGCTGATTGTGCAACATTCGCCTGATTGCCAGCCGTTTGCGTTGAAACCGAGTGCCTTGCCATCAGTGGACAAAGTTGACCTTGTCCTGCTTTTTCCAAAACTGTCGTACTACTACTGGCAAGAACAAATTGTTGCTGTTGCTCCAGTCCTTGATCCGATGTTGGTGAATTAACAGTACTCTTTGGCGATGGTGATTTCCCTTGAATCATTCCCGCACTCAAAATATATTGATTATGATCCAAATTCATTGTTTGATCAATGCTCGCTCCATTATTCGTTGCTGTTGATTGAAAATTAGGTATTTGATTATTGGACACCATTGTTGTTTGTTGTTGAACAATTGTTGTATTCTGTTGAACGAATGTTGTATTCTGTTGATTTGGTGCCGATGACACGGCAATATTTTGCGTTGTACCACATGGTACCATCAGGGTTTGTCCGTTCATTTGTATAAATTTCTGTTGACTTGGAATATTTTGTGGACGCACTTGTGCAGTGTTGAATGTTACCTGTTGATTTGGATTAACATTCGCTAAAATTGGACTCAATTGATTATTGAATGAAGTTGTTCCATTAACGAGAAATTGTCCACTATTTGGCGAGAGAAATTGTGCACCGGGACTATGTTGTTGTATAATTTTACCACCTGCTTGTCCTGCTCTTATCACCATACCCGCTGGTCCAGCAGCAAGGATACTTTGACTTGGACTAAATATTCCACTGTGACTCTGTACTGGTGTGAGGACATTTTGTCCATTTACATTTTGTATTTGTAATTGCATTCCCATGTTTTGGTCTTGTAGAAGTGTTGCAGTACCATCGGCAGACATGACCATGCTTCCTAAACCAGGAACAATGTACTGTTGAATTGTCGGGAAATTTTGTACCATTCCTGTTGTACCATTGAGTAAATTAACTGGTTGAAGGAGATTAATTTGTTGCGTTGGTTGTGGATTGGTGATTATTTGTTGGGTATTGAATTGTGAAGTTGCACCAGTTTGTCCATTCATGACTAGCTGAGCGGGTGCTCCACCTTTACCAGGTACGATAGTCAACGCCTGTAGCATTGGTCCACCAAGACTTTGTGTTTGGAAATTTTGTTGGGCAAAATTTGATTGCGATTGCATCAGCATACCTGTATTTTGTTGAGATGATGCAATGTGTAACATTGATGCAACTGTTTGGGAATTACTTTTACGTTTTTTGTAGGATTTTTTCTTAGTTACTGATTCGGGTGAGAGGAGGGAATTTTGTCGATTTACATTCCTTGTGACTTCTTGATTTGCATCAATAATTGATTGGGCATTTTGAAGAACATTACCGGTGGCAACGGCTAAGTGGGGAATTTGTACATTTTGATTGATACCGTCCATTGTCATAACGCCGGGTTGTATGAGAACTGGTGTTTGAATTGTTGTATTGACAAGAACGGTTGGTTGGCCAATTACTTGTTGGGCAACGGCTGGTATCACTTGACTAACAGCGCCGGTGACATTGGTAACCATTGGCGACACCGATAATGGAGGCATGGCACTTGAATTGGATATTATTTTCGGTGGTGGTGGCGCCATAACGCCACCAATTCCAGAACCATTGCTAGCCATTATTAGTTGTCCTCCGCTCGATACTAAAATATGACCCGGTGGTAGGGTTGAGCCTACTGAGTGTTTTAAAATCCCTCCGGATGTTAATACATTATGAACCTGAACGTTCTGCTGATGGTGTTGATTCTGCTGATGTTGGTTCTGTTGCTGATGCTGCTGCTGATGCTGATGTTGGTTTTGTTGCTGATGATTCTGCTGCTGATGATGATGATTTTGATTCTGACTTTGTTGCAAAGACGGACTCGCTTGAGGAACCTGAATACTGCTAACGACGCTCTGAACCATTTCCAAAGGAGATTTGGAAACGGTCATTGGTGGCTGACTATGGACAATTGGAATTGAGTTCTGATGATAAAGAGCCGCTGACGTATATGGCACATTGACGGATTGTTGAGTGGCTTGCGAAGTCTTGCCGGAGAGGATATTCGGTATCGCGGGATTTGGAATTCCAGATGGTGTATTTACGGAAACGGTAGCTGTGTTGGCTCTGCCAGCTAGGACAGAAGTGATGGTATTACTGCTAACAGTATGTCCGCTTGCCATTGTTGTAATAACCGACGAGGCATTGTAGTTTATTGGCAATCTCGTTCCTGGATTTAAAGTGTGAGGATGTGGTTGATAGCCTTCGAGAGAATGCCTCGATTGTTTCTTTGAGACTTCCGAGACGGAAGTGTAATTGGAAGATTGGTACATTTCGTTTGTCATTTGACAGGGCGTTGCCGAACGATTTTCGGAGGTGCAAATCGAAGACTGAGATGGCTGTTGTCCTTGAGGTAATGACTGAGGAGGTAAAGATTGTGGAGTAGAGGATACGGATTGAGGTGGAATTTGAGAATTCAACTGAGAATTCAATTGAGGTGTTAACTGATTCAATTGAGGTGCTAATTGATTCAATTGAGGTGTCAAAGATTGAGGCGGTACAGATTGGGGAGTCAATTGCGGGGTTAAAGATTGGCCAGCAGATAGAGAGTGAGGCGTGGGAGGTTGGGAATAACTGCGAGGAGTTGATGGTTGGGAGGAAATGAGACTCTGCGGTGTTGCAGGTTGTGAAATACAAGAGGTTAGAGAAGTAGGAGTTTCAGGACTGTTTGTACCAATCGGTGATCCGTGGCTTGTACTAATGGTTCCCCCTTGAATTGGCCTCGAATCGGAGAATCTCTCACTAAAAGTTGAAGAGATCGGATCTTCGCATTGATCGGAATGTAACATGTACTGACGATTTTGATATTTGTAAAGGTCCTGCGTATCGCCACTCGATACGCAACGTTGCGATGAATCGGAATCACTGGTATTGCTACCTGAATTTGGGGTCATACTGCTGTGAACGACAACGGGTGATGTTGGATTATTTTTGTATACTCGGGATGAGTAATTATTGTTGTCGTACATGTCGCAGCATCGCGAACTGGTGGGACTAGTGATTGAGGAAGGCTTTGGTTGTGGAAGATAAACATTTGTCGGTACATGAGAATTTGATGTTGTTTGTGGTAATTTTGAATTGTGTACCGTGACCTGTGAGCTACTGACGCCCGTTTGTCGTGATATTGTGCTGTTTAGAAGAGCTGTTTGCTGAGCTAGATAGCCACTGGGATCGTCGAGAAACGATGGTCCAGTGGTGTTAACTGTAGAACCAATTTGTGAGCCAGGTTTCTCTGCGAATTCATCGCCAGAACTTGGTGTTGACTGGTCCAAATTTACGTTACGGAAACGTACAGGACCTCCTGGATAAAGTGGTCCCATATTTCCCAGTTTCCTCTTCTTTTTCTTGCTAAAGCCATCTGAAAGAAGAGAAAAAAATAAATAATTTATTTCTAACAATTCAAAATCGGTGTGTAAAAAAAAGGGATAGGGAAGTTTTTTTTTAATAGTTCTGGGAGGAGGAATCTTTCCTCCTCTTCTTTTATATGTGAGTATGAAGTAGATAATTATTCTCTAACGCGAGGAGACAAGATAACTCAGGACACTAATGAATTCCTCCGTTAGTACCGTATAAAAGCCCTTATACTTTCCTGGCTTCTGTTGCCATAAACTCGAGGCTTTTAAGGGAATTGTCATCATTGTAGTCTCTTTCTACATCCATTACCGATCATTAAAGTAAGAAACGTAAATCTATGATGTTTCTCTAGTGAAAATCCTTTTTTTCCTCTTCCTTTTCAAAGTATTCCGGTTATAAAAACAACCATTTAGATTTGCTAATTGTAAGCTATAAAACGTCTTCATTCAGTTTTATTTACCATTCCAGTAGAAACCATTCATCATCAAGGATGCAATCATCATTCGAAAATTAGAGGTTTGTGGTCAGAGCATATATGGAAGATTAATGAAGTATTTCGTAAACTTTTTATTCTCTTTTTGTATAACTCAATTCCGTCTTTTTTTTTTTTGACAAGTAAATTTGAGTAAATCGAATAGAGAGAGGCAAAAGTTTCTTTAGTGAATTGTGAAAAGCATTCCTTTGAGAAGTGTGGACTGAGAGTTGAATGACAAAGCGCAGCCGCAGAAAGCGCGCGCAGGAATCAAAATCAGACAGCAGTAGGATCATGTAATCCCTCTTTCTCCTTGCAGCCTTTCTTCATAAGGTTCAACGGTGCTCATATCCTTGTATGAAATTAACCCTTATCAACGTATCTTCTCCTCTCAAAAACCGCCTTCAGCATCACCGCTACCACCTCCACTATTCGCGGTGAGGTAGCGAATAGTGAGTGGATTCTTTCCTCCTCCCGGGACTTATTGATCGTCAGGGCGATAAGAAGACACGAGCCGACGACCGATTGGTCTCCTTCGAGCTTTCATGGGGGGATGAAGTGCACAGAGAGAAAGAGAGGAAATTCCCTTCCCCAAGATGATATTATCCTAGGTTTGTTCTTACAACCCATCTTCGATAAAATAAAGCACCTTGAAGATAAATAGCTCTCAGATCTTCCAAAAATGCTTCATAAATTTTCAAACGATGATAAGGAATAATGATTTTTTTAAAGATAAGAATTCAAATAAATGAAAAAAAAATAATTGAAAATTAGTTATATCGCTTTGTAATAGAGATCTGAACCGGCTTTGATAATAGCACACGGAAAAAATTGGTCTTAAATCTTATTTTCCAGGGAATGCCGACAGCAATCAAACTTCCTTCGAGTTTCTTATCCTCGATTTGAGATGGTGAGGGTTTCCACCGGAAATGGGTATCGCATTCTGGAATTAATCCAAAGCCAACTGCTGACGTATTTTTATTGCTGAAGGGTCGCGTCGCCGCACAGAAAAAAATTGAACTCATTTTTGCTGCATCTCATTATGAGATCTGTATCAAAAAGAGAAAAAAAATTGAATAAAGAAGAAATTCGTCGAATGTGATTAGTGCGTCGTATTGGATTTAGTGGCTTAAAGCAAGTGTTTCATACTAGATAATGAATAATTGGGAAAAATTTATGAGAGAACAGAAAAACATTTCATAGTGGTTGTATTTATAAATTATTTTTAATTAATCTCGAATTTTTTGATGGGGTTTCGATTTTTTTTGAGAGAGAGAGAGAAAAATAATTTTTATTATTTCGTAGAATATTTTAATGGGATAAACAGAAATCTTGGGGGAAAAAATGGGAATCATGAAGCGATGGCGCAGGAGAGTCACGACATTGTCGACGCGAGTGCATATAGTCTTTCTTTCTCTATAAACGGTCTTGCGCACCAGTTTTCTCTTTCCCCTCTTCTTCTTCTTGTTCTTCTCTCAAGTGATTGATCGCGAGAGTCACGACTGCGGTGCATCTACTTGAAATGGTCTCTTGCAAGAATGTAATCTTAGAAATACAATGCCTCGATTTTGATTCGATGGGAAAAAACTTTTCCAGACAATTATCCTTCTAACGGAAAGAATTTTTTTTTTATAATGATGAAAAGAATTTGTTTTCGATGATGATTAAGGAAAAAAAGGTTATTGATGAATCGCGAAGGTGGATTGAGAAAATCAATTGGTTGGAGAAAAGTGAGAATCTTCATAGGATTTTGTAGATTGTGGAAGATGAAGGGAGGTAAAAGGAGAATGGTTCAAAGACTCGGGGATATATATTATTATCGCTAGTTTAACGGATCCAAAGGGAGGAAGAAAGAAAAGAAAAAGAGTGGATGAAGGTGGAAGATTGGTCGGAAAAAAAGGGGGATGACGCCGACATCGTCGTCGGTGACGCCACCACCGCAAGAGCCGTTGCTAATACCGCAATCTCGTCGTTTTTCTTCCCGGCGACTTTTTTTTTTTTTTCCTAATGATTACGCTTCCCTTCTTCTTTTTTCTTCTCCAACCCTCGTTTCGAAATTCTCGAGTGAAACATTTGGTCTTTCTCCAGTAAAAGTTGGCTCGCACGTACCCGATGGTGAATAAATGTCTCTCGACCATTATAATGATTTTTTTTTCTCTGTGGAAAACTTTTTAGTAATTCCTTATATGGAGGTACGATCGAAAAGTTGTTTTTAGAAAACAGTTTATTTTATTTTTTAGTCCATCCATGTACACTTTGCCAATTTTATATCTGGGAGAAAAAAAAGTTTGTCGATAGTTTGACAAAATATGAGCAACAGTTTTCTCAATTCGCACTAAAACTTTTCTTGTGTCCATTCAATCGTCGAGTGTCTTGGCGAATTTTTTCTAAGAGATAGGAAAGGAAAGAGAGATTGAGATGTCTACTTGTATTTTTCAACTTTTGTTCTCTCTAAGGATTATTCAATCTGATTTATGTAGTTTTGAGTGGAGCCAAGAAATATTTGATAAGATATTTGTGGTATACATTTTTCGATATGTGCCAAGTTTTTAAAACTCAAATCAAATACTAGAAATGTTGACTTTTCTTCCATATACGAGCTTTCAAGCGTAATTTTTTTTTTCGAGTAAGTTTAACGTTTTGGTTAATTGACTTGTCCCATCTTCGTGGCTCTTCCCTTCCCCAGTTTCATTTCAAGTCATAGAGAGCGAGCAATTCAAACTCATTCGAGCAACCTTTCCTTTTTCTCTCTCTCTCTCCACTTTCCGACTACTACCTATTCATCATCCATAATTCTAACTGCGGGGTAACGAAGAAAAATAAGAGGAGCAAAAGGATATTAAATTTCCGTGAGAGCAGTATTAAACTTTCATCGCTTCGTAACGTTATTACAGGGGTGGACGAGAAGCCTCCCCTCCCCTTCCCATCTTCCTCAACACTTTTAGCAGAGTTTCATCGTCGCACTGGTCTCTTTTTCTTATCTTTACTCTCTTTCAACGTACTTTTCCTCTAACCATCCAGCACAAGGTGGCGAGAAAACTCGAGTCCTTCTCATCCTCCACTTCTGTATGAGCACTATATATATATATATACTATGATTCCAGAAAACTGTGAAATTAAAGCCACGATCTTTCTTGACTTATCGGATAAACAATTAAGAAAAGTTTTCTCTGTTATGATGGTTACAATTCATTTACTCCACAAGAGTTGGAAAAAGATGATGATTTTATCTATACGATAATTAAAAAATTTGCAATGAAAAGAATTTATCATTAAAAAATCTGCACTGAAAAAGGAAAATTAATTCCATTCAAATAATCGATTACTTTACTATTTTATCAAATAAATATTTCCTTGAATCAAATAATATTTATTTCATTGGGAAGAAAATGTTTTCTTTAAAACAAATGTACAATTTTTTTGATAACACATTTTTTTTTTTTTTGGCTATTTGAAACAAAATTTTATTTAAATAAAAAATCTGTAATAAATTGAAATAGTTCAAATAATTACCTGATTTCGTTTTATCTGTTGAAGTTGGAGCATCGTCGGTAGCGTGAACATTAGGAATCACAGGTCCAGCTGGCGCCGTCGATGATGAAACAATAGGGGTTGTCGATGCAACAGGACTCGCTGCTGTTGCGGGCATTAGAAGTTTCCTCTTGTGATTACAGAGTTTTGTCATCTCTTGAACTTTGCCCTGATTTGGGCTCCAAGGTCGTGTCGCCACCTAGAAAAAAAAATATTTCTCATTATAGACCTCATTGAAGAAACACCGGAAAAAAAGGTAAAAAAAAACCTTTTCTATTTTTCTTTTTTTTTTTTTGACAAATAGACAACTTTTTCAATCAACGTAAATGTCAGGGTGATTTACAGTGGTGGTAAATGGCTAGGAATAAAGGAGATTACCTTCCTACCCATCACACTTCAGTAGCACAATAATTTATGAACTCCCGAGCAAATTTAGAAGGTTCGCGCTATACAAGGTTTCATCTAATTTAGGGGCCTTTTAAAATTAGTTAGTAAAACGACTCCCTTAATACCTGCAGACTTTTTTTTTGCATAAACTAATAAATTTCATTCAAGGAAATTTAAATAAATTTTTAATATTTTCTATTTTCTGATAACAATTTTCTAAAATATTTATTTTATATTAGGAAAAAAAATTTTCATCTCGAACAGCGAAAAGTAACTAAATAACTTTTGAATAACCAAATAAATTGAATTAAATAATCTCTCTATTTGAACTAATTTTTGTATTTGCAAGAAATATGATTTAGTTGACTCAAATAATAATTATTTAAAATAAATAAATATTTGTTAATAATATTTGTTAAAATTGTTACAAAAATTTTCTTGTCAAAATAATACTTTTTTTTTGTATTTTTTTCGATTAGAATATAAATTAATCCATTTAGGGTGAATTAATGAAAAAAAAATAGATACAATCAATTATTTCAAATATATAGATAAATAAATTCTTATCGCATTTGACACAAATCAGATTAATAATAAAATATAATTGAAAATAAATTTCAACGGATAAACATTGTAAGGATAAAAAGGAATAAAAAAAAAAAAAAAAAAAAAAATAGGCGCACATATATGTTAAAACGTTAAAATTATTTTCTCGTTTAATATCAATTCAAGAGATGATTATTTCCCCGCACAAAGTCATTAATTCTACGAGTATAGAAAGAAAACAATCCAACATCATCATAAGGCCATTAATCATTTTCAGTGTCAACTGTTCTTTGCCACTTTGTTGCGGTTGGGGAATAGAAATTTTGCGCGCACAGCAATCAAGAACAGGGAATCGTGACAATTTCTTAGGGTTTTCTTATGAACATTAAATCAAATTATTTTTACGTGCGATATTATACATTTTTTTTCAAATATAATAATATAATAACAATAATAATCATATAATAAACAAAAAAACATTTTTTTATTATAGGTATTATTATTATTATTATTTATTATTAATTATTATTTTTTTTTTTATTAATATTATTATTATATTAATTTAAAATTTATTATTTTTACTTAAAATGTTATAATGATGGAAATTTGCAGTCGTTAGGCCCATGAGAAAAATGAGACCCATATAGTCAACGGGGCATTATGCCCCACGCATCGTTAAATTAAATTTATGTCAGCTTTATAGTGTTTCGTATGTTATGTTTACGTTTATCTTTATTGTTCGGCGCTAAAGGGGGAACGATCGCGCGCGGCCGTTAGTTTGCAGATTTACGAGTTTAATTGCAAAAGCGAACCGATAAAGACGAGAGAGAGAAAGAGGGTGGTGCATTTTAGAAAATAAAATTCATTCGCGCTCATCGCATAATTTTTGTTGTTAAAATTGTTTTACGTTTAATTTAGTTTTTTTTGCATTAAAATAAATAAAATAATAAAAAAAAAAAAAAAAAAAAAAAAAAAACGAGAAAGAAAGGTATCTTAAGAACCAAAAAATTGTAGATTATGTTTTGTAATTTTTGAAATGAAAGTACACAGAGGACCAATTTTTAATTTAAATTATTGTTGCTTACGCCTTTATTGCGTTCGAAATATTCAATAAAAACTGATTTTGATTTTAGATGATTTAAAAAAGAATTTTAATTAAGGTACAACTTTTACAAATTTAACCTAAAAATTTGCTTCTTAGGTACCTTGAATGATGCCAAGAATTTCCACCAAACGCAACTGCGCTTGCGCTACTTTAACTCTCTCATTGGTAGAAAAATGCGCTCTTATTTAAAATGTTTTATTATAAAAAAAATGTTTAGAAAACAAAAAAAAAATTATAAATGTTAAAATGCATAAAAATTAATATTTATTAAAAAACATAATTAAACATAAAAACATTTACAATTTTTTAAAATTATGTTCTAAAGATTTTTTTTATAAATATGCGTTTTAAATAGGAGCGCCTTTTTCAACCAATGACAGAGTTGTAATAGCGCAAGCGCAATTGCGTTTCATAACGGTCGTTGGAATTGTGTATTCCTTTCTTCAACGCTCGTCATAAATATTCATATCTTTTTACTAAAAAATACTATTATTATTATTTTATTTAAATAATTTGACGGGACAAGTTTTTTCGAGACTATAAAAAAATTCAAATTGATATTGATTAGTAAAAAAAAAAAACAAGTTTGTACAAAAGATCAAAACAGAATTAACAATCTAGATAAAGTATATAAGAAATAATTTTTGAATTATTACTTAAGGAAGTTTATTTTTTGTTCATATTGGATATAAAGAGAAATGATTGCATGTCGTCGAGTGAGTGAGTGAGTTGAGTGTTTCTCCCTATGACTTTGGCTAAGTTATATTCGTCGGTGTTATCTCACTTATTGCGAAAAGTATATGTATGTGTGCGCAACAACTTTGTAACCATAAATTGCCAGGGAAATGTCTGCAGGTCTGACACGTTACACAGGGAAGTCCATAGCCATTATGGCATCAAACTGGCCTTTCTTAAAGAGAGAGAGAGAGAAAGAGAGAGAGACTTTTAACAAAGGGTCATTGCGCATCGATCACGTGATTCACGAGCGTCGCCAAGGAAAGAGAGGAGGGGGGGAAGGGAGGGGGAAATGTTCTTTAAGCAAGTCTCGTTATATGGTGCGCCGACTTTGGTCTCACGGATTATCGCGTTACGCGAACAGCATTTACAGAGACTTGTTTCAGACTTTAATGTCACCGCGATGACGATTCCACGTCTCGTTAGGCCATTTATCTGGCATTGACACTCCTCGTTCTTTGATTCCAATACGAAATCGTAATCTTTCTATCTTTGCGGTAAAAAAAAAAATATCTCTTTCCCTATAGTACTATAAAACACTCACAGTTAATTGTATAAATTAAATGAGATAAAAAAATTCTCTCCCCTGAAAAAAGGAAAACTTAATTTTTGTATTTAAAAAAAAAATTCATTTTTTTCAATACAAAATTAATTTTTCCATTAAAAAAAAATCACTCTTTTTAAAATAAATCCATATTTCCCAAGAAAGTATATATATATATATATATAGTGTTTGATTTCTCTTAAAAGCTTTTGAAATTTATTGGAAGATTCTGAAATCACTTGAAATATCTGTAATCTTGCCAACTTGCTTGCGAGAAATATATTGAAATGTCTTTTGGAAAATGGTTTTGAATTCATATTGCAATTTTGAAACTAATGGAATAATAATTTTTCTAAACAATTTTTAATGCTACGCATGAATTCTAAAAATCGTTAAAATTTTATTAGATACAATTTTCTTTGTGACGAATTTTATTTATTCGAATTATATATTTTGCAAAATAATAATTTCGAAAAAATAAAATTCGTCTCAATGAAAATTGTAGATAATGAAATTTTATTAAATGAAAATTCTAAAAGAAACCCAATTTTTTTGTCTATTATATAAAAGACAATTTCTGCAAGTGTTATAATAAATAATATAAACTCACGTTCTCAATAACTTACGCGCCTTTATAACTCACCAATTAATCGATTGGAATAACTATGAATCAAGCGCTCAAATGACACAATTAAAGAGCAATGAATAAACGCTGCAATTAGAGCAAATAATTATTGATAGAATTCCTCTCTCGCTGAGTCGACAAATGAGAGAGGCATTTTCCCCATAAAGACCGCAAAGATCAATAAGTCCCAGAGGGCAAATATTTTATTTGCACCGCACTCATTTAACGCGCGTTTACTTAGTAAAAGGCCGAGGATTCCCTTTGAAAAGAAAAAAAAAAATGAAACTATTTCTTCTTTAATCAAGTGCAATCTACACATGTCACGTCCCTATATACAGCTTCACTATAACATTAGTTTCTTTCTCATGATTCTCAGATAAAGTGTAAATTAAATTGTATTAATTAATTGTTCTATTTTTTTTATTGTAAATCAAATTGCGATTGGAAAAGTTCGATAATTAATTTGAAGACTGTTAAAAGGTGTAATGTAAAATTTATTATTTCCGGAATAATTTTTACTATTTCAGAACACAGAAAAAAACTGAACTCATTTTTGCTGCATCTCATTATGAGATCTGTATCAAAATGAGAAAAAAATATGAATGAAGAAGAAATTCGTCGAATGTGATTAGTGCATCGTATTGAATTTAGTGGCTTAAAGCAAGTGTTTCATACTAGATAATGAATAATTGGGGAAAATATATGAAGGAACACAACCAGAATTAAGAAGGTATTTTGTTGTCTTAACCAGAATTTGGTTGGTCAAATTTTGTTGACGCAAAAAATGGTTGCTTAAATACCAACCAAACGTATTATTGTCAAAATTAAACCCTTTTTCTTTAGTGTATAAACTAAAAACAAGAAACTTTCGAATAAATTTTAACCTTAATAGCATAATTTTAAAAATAATATCTTATATCCACATAAATTGGCTGATTTTCAATAATTTTAGTTTTAAAAGTAAACGTATTTTATTTTTATTTGTTTTGGAATGTAAATTATTTTACAGCCCAAGGCATTTAATGTGTATGTAATTTTACACTTTTGTCATTAAGTTAAATTCTTCAGAAATTGAGAAGTTAAATCAAGTCGAATCCTTGTGGGCAATCATTATACATTAAATGATTATATAATCTTTATAAGAATATCCTTTTCAATGGTGCATTCATTCTGAATCATTCTCCTTTTCAGTTCCTTTTGAATATTTTCCTTTTCACAAAAAAAAAAAAAATTGTATACATCAAGTTTCTCAAAGTG